AGTTAAGAATATTCTAAGAGCGAGCCTAGCATTAACAAGGGAAGCCATCCATGACAGTAGACGGAAACTGGATATGATTAACAAGGAGCTTTACTATTTACATCTAGATTTATTCAACCAACTCAATCCTTTATTGTGGAATATCCTGGATGGAATATCAGGATACCGGGAAGAAACAGACATTGAACTAACAAGAATCAAACATAAAAGAAAGTTCGAACAGCTGAAAGAAACACAGAAAACTAAGAAGAATAAAATTAACCAAGAAGAACCGCCGGAGAGAGTAGTGTATAATACCAAATCGATGAAGCGACAGAAAATGTACTTGCCAAAGGTTTCAACTATGCTATAGCCCCCACAAAGATCCCGTAGAAACCATCATCTGTGGAGTGGAAACCTCGATAAAAATAAAACATCTGGAAGAAAATAGTGCTGAAGTTATCAGACCAGAAGTTTCTCAAATACTACGAACAGCCAAACCACCGAAGAAGAATCTGTCAAAGGAAGAGTCCAACGCACTACGGGAACTACAGAAAAACAAAAATATAATAGCACTACCAGCAGACAAAGGCAACGCAACAGTAGTCATGGATATAGAAGAATAGGACCAAAAAATCCGTACACTATTAGACGATGGAAAAATGTGTGTGGAAGTCTTTTCGGAGCGCGAGCATTGAAGATGCCAAGTGAGATTTTGGCGAAACGTCTGCAGGATTCCAGTTTGAGTTCAACAAGCGAACGGATGATATCCCGGAATATATATATATTCTGTTTTTTTTTTTCGAATTAGAAATAACATTTTTTTGATGCTCATTTCTGACCTGCTGTATAATATATGTTCGTCATAGATGGGTCAAAGCATTATTATTAACCACTTCCATGGATCCATAATAAAAATTGCCAATTTTAGTTTTTAAGTGTAAAAAACACATTTTTCCAAAAACCTGTTTTTCCGCAAAAAATTGAAAAAGTGTATTTTTCTCAAAAACTACTCAAAATTTGGTATGCTATGTAATGATAAAAAATACTCAAAATCAAGCCAATAATTAGAATTAAAAAAAAAGTTGGTTACTGTCTTGGCACAACGAAACACCACACATAACAATACTAAAATTAAAATTTATACTTAGATGTTAACAAAAGTTATTTAGATTTTTTATATAGCTTCAGATATGAAATTCGGTGTCATTGAGTTCTGGTGGATGTGGTAACGCTGCATTTGTGAAAATATTTCTAAAATATGTAAATAAGTCAGGAAGCTCGTAATAGTGATCTCACAAAGAAACAATTTAATAATAATGTAATAGTAACATTATACGGCAAACAAAAGCTTCTTGAGCAGTGTTGGACAATTAACATTTAATACTTATTCGTATTTTAAGTTATCTTCTTTTTAATTTTCATTTTGATTTCTAATGGACCCTTCTGAATTAAATAATTTTATTCTTCTCCATTGTGAAATAATCGAATATTTTGCGAACAGAACATTTCTATACATAAAGAAAAAAAATTAACTAAAGTTTGTGATATAGATTCTTAAAACATTAATCTTGGTATTCCAGAGTACACGTGATAAACTGCCACAGTGGCATTGCACTCCGAGATCGTTAAACAAGCAAACAAAGCAAATAATTGTTTCTCATGCCATTTGAATTTTCTAGTCAATTAATCGAGATAAACTTGGAAGGCGTGCACTCATTTAATTGGGTTCGTATGTTGTAAAGATTCAGTTAACACTCAGTCCGAAATGTCATTCTGCTGCAAGAAGCATAATTTGCCAGAGGCAAACTTGAACAAAAAATAGTTGCCAAAAATTTTGCGTCGGCACTACGGGCCTTATCAACTATATATTGGAACAAGCTGTTAATTATCGAACAAAATGCCGAAATTTTAACGGTTTAATTAGTTTTTAACAAATTAAAACAAATACCTACACAGAATTCAGAGATCAAACTATCTTATACTTGCAATTTAGAACGTAATTGTGGGAAAAGACGCTGAGGATATTAGGCGTTTAATTTTTTGCCAAAGTGGACTGGATTAGGATCCGGGTTTCTGGAGGAATGTGGCAAAACTTTAATATCATATGTTCCCCCATTTAATTTTTGGGCCTATTGAAAGATAAAATCTCGGCACTGAACTGTCTAAAATCGAGTGATGAAAGATACTGTGTCTTTAATAAAATGTGAAGTTCTTTGGCCGACAATATTTCTGTTTTTTTTTTTTCGACTTACAAGCTTTCCCACACAGATATCAAATCAGTTTTCATGGCTTTATAACATACAACATGCTAGAAAACACTCTAGAGTCGCTTATTATTTCTCTAGACTAAAGCGAGTATACTTCATTTGACTACTCGGAACATGATAACAAAAATTTACAAATACAATAATAACATTTATTACAATTTATCTATTTTCATATTATTCTTACAACTATAAGAGTTTTAATTAATTATATTAATAATTTAATTAATAAGTAATATCTCAATTATCTGCCCGTCAATTATTGTTATAAGTATTATTCTAATAAAGTACTTGCAGCAATGTCGCAGTAACATTACTTTCATTCACCAAACTCACCTTTAATTTAAGAACGATTGGCGGTAGCTCTTAAAATCTGAAATACGGAATTATAAAATCTCTCATTGCAATGTCCACCCTGTTTATTAAATGTATTAATGTCGTTTGAGGCACTGTTTGAACGCATTTATGAAAATTTTAACCTTTCTTTGATTATTTTTTCTAAGACCTTTTTTTTAAGTGCTCGGCACTAAATAAATAATCTATCCGAAAATTCGGATAAATATTGCTTAATTACACTGATAAACAGATTGAAGTTTTTGGGTTATTTCTGGTTTCTTTGTTGCTCATCTCAAATACCGATCCGATGGAAAGTTCAATTAAGTGTAATTTAGTATTTTTCTCAGACAACTCACACTCCAATATTCTAAAACGAGATTCTTAAACCGGACCGTTTAGAAGATTTTAACTGGAGATCCATTCCGTAACATGCTAACGAACCTTCAAATAATTAAAAGAAAAATCATACCACTTCGTTAAAAAAAGCAATAAAAATCTCGAAACCGTGTTCCGTTCATTAGTTGCTTTATTGGTATGCCGCGATAAAACAATTAATTAAGAAAATACTTCGCCCATTGTGCGAGTCGAGGAATACTTTCGTTTTATTTTATTATCTCATTTTTCATGCGAAGACGTTAACAAATGCATACCGAGCGAGCATGATGCGGCTCGACGCAACGTTGACCTCGACTCGGGTTAAGTTTTGAGCAATCGTGCCATTACATTATAGAGTCGTGTCCTAAACGAGAAAGTACAGTGTGTCCCATTTTTTATGGTTTTAGGGCGTACTGGGTGTCCCGTTTATTATGGGATGATGCCTTATCACAGAACCTGTAAAAAAATATCAAAAAAACCTAAACCCAAAAGTTTGAATTCATTTATACTTTCGAAATGTTATAATTTTATATATACGAGGTGTTTTCAATTTGGTGGACAAGTGACAAACCTTCGTATTTTAAATAAAAGACGCGGTATATTAAGGAATTTTTTGAATTTCTCCGAAATTTTAGACATATTCTATACTAGATATCAGTAAACATGACGACTACGTCATAATGATGGCATGGCATTTGCCGGTGTCATCATTATCATGGCTAATGTAATCTTCATCTTTCCTGAATGCTATTATATTGTATAGTAACATAAAGTTTCCCATCCTTTCTTTTATTATACATTTTCCCAAGATTGCGGTATTTTTTTCATTCCGTTCTGGTATCTAACCATTTGCCTTCAAGTGCTTTTTTTTATATCCAAATATGTGAAAATCACATAGTTCTAAGTCTCTGAATGAAGTTCAGGAACACGTGTAATGTTTTCATTAATCACATTGAGCCGAGGACGACGGAGGTGAATCCGTTGCACCAAACCTTCACCGTTGATCATGAAAACGCGGGCACACTCCTCTCATTCATCATAAGGGCTATTAACGTAAGCCGAGTGATTTGTTTTCCTTACTTTAGGTATCCCTACGCCTAAAAATGTCCAATCGCACACATATATCTTTCTCACTTTCGTACACTTAATCCGTTATTTTTTTTGGGGTCGATTTTCTTATAGAATTTGATCTACTCTAGTGACCTGTGTTGAAATTTTAAAAATAATTCATTACAGGGTGGCCAAAAACTAATATTTAAAAATTCAATGACAAAACCGTCGAAATCAAATCAAATGCATATGTTATAATTTTATCAAACTTTGCATTTCACCTTTCATTTCATGTAAAAGCATCCATGGGTCGCAACAGCCACAATACGTTAGCTTTATTACTCAAACCCTCAAAAATGGCACACACTGTAGGCAATAGCTCAGTCGGATCAGTGTACTAAGAAAGAATCCCGAATCGATTTTTTTTAAAATAATTATAAACAACAGATCGTATTTCGTACTGAACCAAAAAAATCTTGCGGAAAAATGTAATGAATGTGAAATTTTAATGTAAAACTTTAAATTAAATGATAATGTATACCACTAAAAGGATTAAAACATCTTAGATTAAATGGAAACACGCAATTACAATTAATGAAAAGCATTTTAATTATGGAACTTTGACACCCTGTATATTGAAAACAGATCGTTTAAATGGAAAGTGCCATAATGGAAGTTCTATTATTTTAGCCATAAAAATATATGGGTAACGGATTAACTTACCTTTTGTATCACTCTATTTATTGGACATCGTGATGATCACACATAGGCAATTATAAAACATTTAAAATATACATATACAGATATCTCAACCAAAAATTTACCTTTAGCAAAAAAATATGATAAGTAAACAACAGCTTAAAGTGGCTTCGCAGTAGTTTCTAATATATCCATCTGTATTAAATAATTAGTATTTACTATAAAAAATAATAATAGGTATTAATTTATTGTTTAAATTTTAAATAGCTAAATTGAGACTATTTCTTATTGTAGGATTGTCCGGATACTGGAGATTTCAGAGCTCAGCAATGTTCCGAATATGACGAAGTACCTTTTGAAAATGTCACATACCAGTAAGTAACATTTTTATAACGAACTGTTAAAATGATTAATAAACCGGGAAACTTGTCGTTTTATGATAGAAAAAGTAGTAAAAATATTAAATTTTCGACATCAGGGCAATCCGCCTAAAATATTTTTGTTTCTGGTTAAGCCGAAATTTGGTGTCAACTTTAGTTAAACCGAAACACTGTATTGGTTTGATTCATTTATCGATGGTGGAGTATGAAGTTTAACGACGCATTAAACATTCACACGTAACTGTTAATTCAATAGCCTAAGGAAAATCTAAGACAGTAGCACTCCTAACTGATTCAGCTGTATCCATCACATAGTCTATTTGAGGTCGTTGATTGAATTAAACTGTTTAAATTTGCCTATAAAAATGCACAAGTGTGTTTCGAGCAGTCATTAACCACTTGGAAGGATTGACTTTGATAAAATTCAAAACTGATTTGCTGGTTCTGTATTTGTCACTGTTTACATTTGGGTGGATCGGTTTAAACGTGGGCATACCTCCATTAAAGATGAATGTAGATCCAGACGACCTGGTCAAGTGTCTACCCCCAAAATGATTGGCAAAATTCTCAACTCAATGCAGTGTAATTCGCAAGCGCCGTAGACTAATCGCAAATCAAATGGGGTGTAAATGATAACCTGGGCAATATGGGTGCTGCGTTTGTTCACAGGGGAGAATAAACGCAATCGTGTGGTCAATTTTGAGGCTGTTTTGGCGCATTTTTGTCCTGATGAGTTTCTGCGTCGATAATTGTTGAAAAAGCGTGTATAACATTACTCACACACCAGTGGCAAAGGATTGTTTAAATTTAACTAAGAAGTAATCGTCCCAGTCAATGCCTATTTTGAGGAGCTTCTAGAATCCTAGACGGGTTTAAAAAAATGTAAAAACGTATAGACAACTGTATAGATTTGTTGAAAAATAAAGAAAACAAGAAATGTTTTTTCTGCTTTTTTTTATTACTACTACTTATTTTACGATCCTCGTAGCTATATAACTTTACAAATAGCATACCTACTATACTTACTTCATTACCATAACCATACCATATTCTCAGTATTCGTGGTTAATTTCTTATAATCCGAGGTTTCATCGGACATTAAGACTTTAAATGGCCGGTAGTTAGGACGTCTTTATTTTTCACAAAAGCAACTTAACTTTAATTTAAACTGAATGTAAACAAATAGGTGGGTGCCGTACACGAAAGGACCAAATCCGTGCGAGCTTAATTGTATGCCTAGGGGGCAAAGGTTTTACTACAGACACGCTCCCGTGGTAATTGACGGCACGAGGTGTGATGACCAGACTCTTGATGTGTGCGTTAATGGAAAATGCCAGGTACGTTAACTCACTTCCCTGTTAGTTCGTCTCCTGGGCAATTGGCCTGTCAGGAAATCGTCCAGAGATCTTCAAACTGAATAAAAATAATCTGAAGCACCAAATGGAAGTTTAGAAAGCTATTTTTGATAAATATGTCCGTAAAAATGTTCTTCCAGCCCGTGGGATGCGATATGATGCTGGGTTCGAAACTGAAAGAAGATGAATGTCGCGTCTGCGGAGGAGATGGCAGTACGTGCAACACGGTCACCGATACGTTAGAACTGAACGATATGCAAGTTGGTAAGAAGGAGAACCGTCATTATTATACACTTACCGCACAATGGAACGCGTTCAATGTTAACTGGGGCTAAATATTTTTTAGGGTCGTAGAAAAAGTATAGTATACAATACATTTGATAATTTTTTTATGTCACTCGTTTTTTAACACAAAACTCTTCATTCAAACGCCACACTTGTTGCATAATACACTATTAGACATCAATTATAATTTGTTAAAATTTAAATTACCCATTAGGGGGACAAGAAAACATGAAACTAATCAGTCAAAATTTTATAAGTAGCATAGTCGAAGTTCCCACTAATGGGACTATTCGGTAACTGCCGGTTGCCTAGATTTGAACTCTCCGGATTTCGAAAATGAATCGTCAAGTCATCACGAAGATGTAATCTATATTGACAGTAAAATATTTTTCAAAGCCTCTAAATCTGAAACTAAAAGACTCAGAATCATATAAATATTATAAAAAAATTAATTGGAAATCACAGAGAAATATTTGGCACATTGCAACCTTACCAGTACTCGAACCATACATCAAAATTATTTTTTAAAATGGAATGTCCTGTATGTTCATGAAAAACGAAGTGAAAAGTTCTAAAACTTTCTATTTCTTTTTATTTATTATAACATGAAATTTAAGCTATCGTATAAATTACATAAACTGTTTGATAAATACTATATAACTGAACTGTCAAACTATATCGTCACGGCTTATTGCCAAAAATTACATTATCCTACTTAATTTTTCAAGTAAACTTCCACAGACTACTGTAATACTTTTTATAAAACTTTTGAATTCCTCCTGCGTATGTTTTTATTGAGTCGAACTTGCTAACGTTTCGCCAATCATCCTGTTGGCTTCTTTAGAGCTTGATTCAAACTGCCTCGCATTTTACTCTGTACCTGCTTATATATTGTTTGAGGGGGGCGGAGCTAAATGAGGCAAACAATCTTAACTACGACTCAGATCTATACCTTTCATCAATATGGGAATCAGTCATCCGAGACGATATTTATTCCCCTCATTTAGGTCCACCCCCCTCAAACAATATATAAGCTTGTACAGAGTAAAATGCGAACCAGTTTCGGTTAATCTCTGAAGAAACCAACAGGATGATTGACGAAACCCCAGCATGTTCGACTCAACGAAAACAGACAGACGCAAGAGGAATCCAGAAGTTTTATAAAAAGTATTTTGCTTCAGAACAGTTCACAATTGTTATAATAGTCCTACAATACAATACAATAATCAAGAATGAATCCTTTTGCTTATTGCCGCAATAAAATACACATTCATGTATTTTTCAAAATATGCATAAAGTTGTAAAAAAAAAGATTTTTCATTTACATGGATTTCAGATTTTTTTAAGTGGTTGAAAGATTCGTGATTCGCTATCGAAATTTTTCTAAAAAATAATTTTTATCTCTAAAATACCAAGAGTGACCTAAAACATATGTTACATAGGAAGAATGTTTTAATAATATTTCAAAAATGAAGCAAAAGGTTTATTTTGAGTAAACCCAGCGTTTACTCAATATAAACCTTTTGCTTCAAAGGACAACACATCACTATAATTCACTCCAGATCAGAAGAGGAATTTATTCCAAACTTCATGGTATTGTCTGCTAGTAATATTAAGGAATCAACTTGTGCTAGCATGAAGATACAAGGGCAGACCTGGTTTCAAAATTATCTTTTAAAAAATTGTCCAGTCCGTAATTATAATGAATAACCCTACCTTTCCCAGCCGGTTGCTACAGAAATTACCAAATTCATTCAAAAAGATTTGCTTCACAAAAGTGGAAGTTGAAGCCTGAAATCCATATGCTATTAAAAACGATATCTAATTTATAGTTCAGCTAATAGATATAGCATACTGTTATAGGTCTTCGTCCATAATATTACTCCTGCTCTAAGACCCAGTGTAATAAATTTAATTAAAAAGATTCTTACATTCTTAATGACGATTCAGAGTAAAACAGAATTAGATCTTGAATAAAAACGTACGTAAATGTCATGATTGCTAATATTTAGTTAGATATTTGTAATGTAATATTTAATCCTTATGTTTTTAAAATACATTAAAGTTCCTTCCCTGATGTGCTGTCCTATAATATACACTGGTCAGCTGTTGCCATCGGCTGATGATTGCCGTCAAAAGTCGAGACGATATGCTTTGAGACAAACCATACATTTTTGTTGCTAATTTAATCATGGGGTACTTTAAACGTCAGCTATATAACATTTAAGGCTCAAATCCTACTAAACCTTATACATTCTGCGCGTTACAGGTTACAACGACATCTTGCTCGTACCCGGAGGTGCTACCAATGTACTTGTGGAGGAAATCGCTCCATCCAATAACTATCTAGGTAAACCCCTTCCTGTAACTTTGAATGCTCGAATTGAAATAGTACGATTTTATCGTTGTAGCTGTTAGAAATACGTCGGGTCACTATTACCTAAACGGGAATTGGCGCATAGATTTTCCTCGCACGGTGGACTTTGCAGGCAGCAAATGGACCTATGAAAGATATCCCCAAGGATTTGCAGCGCCTGACAAAATTTATACGCTGGGTCCTATCGATGAACCTCTTTTCATCGTGGTAAGTTCAAAAGCCACGTTGTCCTGTATCATACCAAACCTCATTGACGGAGTCTATCCTATATCAAACGCAAAGCAAAGCGGTGACCACATAGCGCTATTCAATTTCGTTATGTTCGAAAAAGATACAATATTTTGACAACGTGAGTATGGGCAAACTTGCTAATGTTTCGTTTGTAATTCGAATTTTTGAGATAAAAGTGTTATTGGACATTTTTCAAAATTTCAAATGATTTACTTGCTGGTACAAACAAAATAAACTTGGAAACAGTGGCACTATTTCAAATTTAACAAAACTTGAAGAATTTGATTGAGAATATTTCGTAGTTACTTAAGAGAGAGTCGCCACTTATTCTGCTTTATGTATTTAAAATAACATTTAAAGAAACTATTGCTACACAGGCATGAGATGACATACACTACATGTAATTAAAAAAAAATGTATTTGCGCACAATTACCCGCCCGGTGAGTAATGATGCACACAGGATAATTAATGGTGTGTAATATATCATTGTTACAAACAAATCTTTATTGTTCAACTAATCGAAACTATAGCTGCAACAAAAATGTGGTAAGATAAGCAGAAGTTGTATTTATAAGACACGTATTTCTCCATTTTGGTCAGTATCTGCATATATCAAATATATCTCATTATGTTTGGAGAGGGTGAAGTGTGAAGTGTGAAGTGTGAAGCATAAATCGACATCGTCTAACTCGTCATATGCCGGACAAATCTTCGTCGTAATCTTCTATAGTGCAATTTGTTCCTTAATTGGATGGTTCAATATCAAATTTATCCGGATTTATTGGATAAATTCCCGAAGTACGAAATCCTGAAAGGGCGAATGTCTTGTTTAATAATTCAGCACGTCATATTTTGTTACCTTTTGATGGCCAGAAGAGGATCGATAAAGCTTTTGTTCTCCGTGGAGTAGACTAAAAAATATTAAATCTGATTGTAAGCAGAAATTGAAATATGAATTAAATGGTCATCTCGCACCAAAGCCAAAAGCACCAGAAAACAGATCAGAATTAATGCTACTAACCAAAATTATTTTTGGAGCATTTGTAGAGAGCACCCTAGGCAGTCACTTTAGAGCAGAAATAAGCATAGAGGGATGTAATTCCCATAAGCACTCAAACAGAAAACACTAGTTATGCTATCTTAACCACGAGTCAGGTCTCTACCTGTCACCAATATGGGAATCAGTCATCCCAGAAGGTGTTTATGCCCCTCATTTAGCTCCGCATCCTCAAACAATATAAAAGCAGGTACAGAGTAAAATGCGAGCCAGTTTCAGTCAAGCTCTGAATCAAATTGAAACTTCTACATGAAGCAAATTTGTTAAGGCTTTTGAGACCACTTGATGAGCTATTATCCATCATTCGAGTCCAAAAGCCATCGTCGTTGCTTCCCAACGTTTCACTAGCCCGAGTAGCAATTAAGAAGCAATTCCAAACGACGTCAGCCTTTAGGCACGAATTAGAACATCAGTTCTCATGAGAATTTCAAAATTATAAAAAAATAATTTTACAATCTCTTTACCCTCAGACTGTCTTAGCTTACTTCAGGAAATCTTTGTAACAAACCATAAAGCGCTTTTCCAGCTACCCCCTCGATTGAAAAAAATCTGAAATTGTCCTTTTGTGGAGTAAATTATTTGCCGTAAATCAAAATTCTTAACAAATTTGCCTAATTGGTTTCAATAGGTTGGATCAAGGGCTACAAATTTTGTATTTACGGTTTTCGTCATCACATGCGCTATTCGAGATATTTGAAAAAATCCAAATAAAAATCACCATTTCTCGCCCTCAATTTAGACGCGATGACGTCATTTAGTATTGCTGCGATGTACTACATGGTTTCAGAAAACAAGTATTTTCTTGAGAACCATTTACTCTATTGGAAAAATTAAAATGCCAGGAATCGTGGGAGATCCAGAGCTATAGCCTCGATTTCCAACATTTTTTGAATTATATACAGGTTGTGTCGTTTATGGGCAAAAATTCTAAAAGATTCTGAAAATTTCCGTTTTTGTAGGTAAATTATTGGCCATAAATGAAAAACTGTTAATGATGGGATAATTTTGTTTGAACAATATCATAAAATATGTCGAGACAGAGTTCCACTTTACGTCTATCATAGAGCGTGCGCAATATATGTGAAAAAATATCATTTTAAATCGCTATTACTGTTACAGCTTTACGTTTGCTGTAACTTTGATGTTCAGCGAGACGTGAAAGACACTTTATACAGGGTGGGTGCACAATGAAATTACATCGATTTTGCGAAAATTCCATATTGGTCCGCATGAGCACGATAGAAAAACAATGCACTCTGCTAGGATAAGAAACGGCTTTGCAGTCGCCTCGCGTTACTGTAGTGAATGGATATTTTGAGGAACTCGAGTTTTCGGTTTTTGAAGACCATTTAACTCAATTCGAGTGTATGAAAAATAGAGTAATATTTCTAGGGACTATGTTGAAAAATAAAATAAGAAAAAAAATCATTGTTTTCGTTGTCAGATCCGTCAGTTATCAGCCCACTCTCGTATTCTATATACATTTACAACCCTGTGGTTTTATTTGCAGCTACTATTTCAAGAATCTTCAGTACCAGTAACCTTCAAATATAGCATGCCCACCAATATTCAACCCGGATCCGAATCTGAAACTTACGCTTGGACCTTCGATGAATTTACACCCTGCTCAGCTACTTGCGGTGGAGGTTTGTATTCATATGTGTTGGTAACTAACAGAAAACCGTGACAACATGTTTGATAAACTTATCGTCTTGACGACATAGTTGCTCATTTAAAAATTAAGATGCACTCAGCAAGCAAGCAACAGTAATAGTAGTACTTTATTAATTAATTTTTGCAATAAATGTAAGATATTACAAAAAAAAACTAAAAACAAAATAATACAAAATATATAAAAGTTCTTCAATCCTGTAAAAGCAACTTTTAGGAAGATGTTCCGTTATTCTTTTTTTAATTTATTTAAACTTAATTAATTTAACCTCGTTGGGAGTTTGTTGTATAAATAAAAATTTAATTTCAATTAAAGTAAAGTTAAATAAAGCAAAGTAAAGTAAACATGCGAAAACACATAGCGTGTGCCATAATTAAAAAAATCAATCGTAAGGCCGAGTAGTACAACTCAAATCCGTGGTTATTGAAATTCGAGAATAGCATTTTACGGGCATTGAAAAATTTCAAATCTGGTTGTTGCAATTAGTACTGCAATCATAAACTTTAAGAGAGACTTTTAAAACAAACAGTTTAGGGCTCCCTTTAATCGTCTAGACTGTCTCCCCGAACTCATTGGGAATAAAAATCTTAAATCTATTGCCCCACAAATGGCTGCTTTTATAATCTTACTGATTGTTAAGTATCGTTTGTATAAATAAAATGTTTACCGGTCTTTAGACCTTGTTAGCTCTGTGTTATATAGTATTATTGTTGTTATTCTTCTTTCCATGTTTAACTTTTTTCAATCATTATAATGTCTGACGTCTAAGTCATCTGCAAAAATAGCAGCCTAATTTATTGGTATTAAAGTTTCAAAGGGATTAAGTCTGGCTCTGCTGCTTTTTTATTGTATTTGTAAACAGAGTAGCAGATGAATGCTGTCTTAGTCTTTTGCGTCCAGTCAAGCATAGCATTGCATCTTTATCTAGTTCATTATGTCGTAAATTGACACAGGAATTTTGTTTGTCAGTTTTGAAGTGTAGCTAAGACACACGGATCATTTTTGATTACGTCACTATACTTGATGTAACTGCGCAACTGCTCTGACTGAAGTATACCAACATATTGTTGAGTCCTGAAAATATCGAAAATTTTAGTAATTATTGTGATCTGATAGAAGCCACCGAATAATGATATTTTTCCAGGTTTTCAGGAAGTAGTTTTCCTGAATATAGCATATATATCTTCATAATAGTCTCCAGCCCATTTTTATTGAAAAAGTTCCCACCGACAAATCGATTTTTGCTACCAATGTGAGAAATTAATCTTCCCGAGGGTGTTTTTATTCCATGAAAACTTGATTCGCGCTTTTTAAATTTATATCTTGCCAAGCTTCGTCTAGATAATAAATATTCCTCTTTTCTCTTCGAAGGAGTCTAACTGCTCTCAAATATCCTTGCCGCCAGCAGATAGTTTTGTCTTTCTCTATTAAAAGTGACTTTCTGTTTTCAGTCTTTGAGTATTATCAATGGGTGGAAATTTTCATTTCAGACATCATTTTGTCCAAGTTAGGTAGTTCGGGAGTATTATTCTTCAGATGGTAGACTTTTCATCGTCCGAATATTGACTTTCGTTGGGCAATAGTTTTCTAATTTTTTCTCAGCAGCAAATTCAGAAACACTAGCCATGTTCAAGAACGAACCTTGCCAACAACTGCCAGAAAGTAATTAAAATTCTAATTTTAAACATTATGGCACAGGTAGGTCACCTATTATCCTTCTACCTGTCACTCTCGGGACCCTTGATAACCATGGTAGGTACAATACTACGCCTATGGAATACCACTAAGTTTTACAGTTCGATAGTATTAGTATAATTAAATTGAAAAATTAAAATGTAAATTATTGAGTGGTAAGAGCGGACATACGTTAAAGACGCTCCAGTCGTTGTCGTAATTAAAATGCCCCAGCCTTACATTAATGTAAATTAAAAAGGAAATTTATATTCAAGGCATCCAATATCGTAACGTATCGTGCGCTGGGCGGAAAACCCTACAACCGGTGGATGATAAATTGTGCGACGAAAATAGGAAGCCCGTTACTTCGAGGAAATGCAACGAAATAGCCTGTCAAGCGCAGTGGGTACCGCATCCATGGGGCAACTGTTCGTCTCCTTGTGGCGAGGGAGGTACTCAAAATCGGGAGATTTCCTGCCAACAGATAGTATCCAACGGCTATCCGACATTAGTGGACGAATCGCAATGTCAAGGCCCTAAACCGCCTCAGCAACAGAAGTGCAATGAAGGAAAAACTTGTGCCAAGTGGCATACCGGACCTTGGAAGCCGGTAAGCAATGATATCAGTCTCCTTACTCTAAAATCCTAGATTAAACTCGTGAAAATAAGGACGTTGCATAGTAAAACGTCGCTCATTAAAGAGACACAGAGTGTTAAAATGTAGTTTTGGAAATGGTTATGGCGCAACCAGTTTTTGAAATATCGCCATGAAAACTTGGAATCGGGGGTTTTACGAGATGGCGAATACAAGTACATTATATTTTTTCACATAATATCTAGATGGCGATATAATCTCGCCATTTCTTGCGATCACTCTCGTTTTAGTATCGATCTATTACTCTTTTTTTAAATGTCTTACATATTTATATTTTAAAATACAGCGTTTTCAAGATATTTCCATTTTAATTCCATTCTCATCCTCAAAAGTCCCAATTTCCAAATTGGTTTTCTCGCAAACTGTTCCTTTAGTTTTGATGATTTTTTTTGTCATAAAAGTCATAAACTTTTAATCAGAATTTGATCCGGACCTATGCGAGGTGCAACAATGAGTCAACCTGTATCTAAATGAGTGAAATGTTACCAACGCATATTTTCATTATTTGAATATTCGTTATGTTTAGGCTAATGAACCACTTGAAATTATTTTTTATTGTTGATCGAGCGATTTGATTTAATCCAATATATATTGGTAAAATGTCGCACATTTATTAATAAAATAAAGTAAAAGAAATATTTATTTTTCTATAACTTAAGCTGTTTTGGTTAGTTGGATTACGAGTGATGATTTGTAAATAATAAAGATATAAATAAATGTATATTTCGACAAAATACACCATTTTCAAGATATTTGCATTGTAATATTTCATTCCAAGTAAAATCGTTGACATTGGCATTAGCGCTTATATACATTAATGTCAATAAACGCTCTTTTAACGTCATTTTTATAATGGAATAAAAAATCATTTCAAGTGGTCAATATGCCTAGGCATAACGAATAGTTAAATAATGAAAATATGCGAAAATAAAATGTTGCTGGCTGGCTGGGATGCAGGGTGACCCATTGTTATACCAAAAAGTAGCACATCAAATAAAACAAAAGTTTGTGACGATGCATTGTTGCCGAAGAATCGATCAAAAAAAGATCAAAATAAAACGAACGGTTCGGAAGGAAATCAATTTTGAAATTGGGATCTGTTGTTTCATAGTGGTCGATATTTTTGTGGAGACGAGTATATTATGCGGCAAATATCCTGAAAACGGTGTATTTTATCGGAATAACTAGCATACATTTTTTAGTCATCACACGCTCATAGTAGTCAGCAAAATGTACGGAAACGATACTAGCAAGAAAGTTATGGCATGATGGCATGAAATAGTGACATTATATGTAATACAATTAAAGATTTACTGTTGAAATTTCAAAAACCCAACCCTAATATGAGAACCATTTGACCCAATATTATACCACCGGAAAGCGAGCCGAAAGTGTCAATTTCACTACTGCTTCATTAGCTACGGTCGGCACCTTAGATGCGGAGCGAGGAGCGATCGGATTTTAGCAACGCCTGGTATTTTGAAGTTGAATAGTTCTCATGGCACGTCACACGTCATTATACACTATAAACTAGCAATGCCTTAAGATTAAGTAACAATATAATCAAATAAGAGGTAAATTAGGAAGAAAATTTTTACCCGTTAATCTTTTTGAAAATGTTTGCTAAGGTGTCAAATAAATTGAAACCTGAGAAGACCTTTTTTAAATACACATCGCATCAAAATTTGGGTCAACTTTAAAGACTTGACTCGATTTGAATATATATATATATATATATATATATATATATATATATATATATATATATATATATATATATATATATATATATATATATATTTGTTTAACTTTAAGCTTTAGGCATGACAAGAGTATTTAAAAAGCAGTTTTATGTGTAATGTTTGTCACATTCTGTGGGAATTCCCATCAACACTATCTCTGTGTTGTTGTGAAATTTATTTATTTTTGATACCTATTTTAATAAAATCAAATTTCAATTTTAGTTTTAATATCGCAGATATATTTTGAGTTTTAAAACTAAACCCAAAATGCCGCTAAAATCTACCTTTAACTTATTTCACCAAGCTCCAACTTTTCCCCACCACAGATAACAAAAATAACTTTACTTAATGCAATTTGGATTTTTCTCTCTGATTTTAATCTGTTTTTAGTGCGATCATTTGTGTGGCGACGGAAAACAAACAAGGAAAGTCCGTTGCTTTATAAAAGACGAGGAAAATCAAATTGAAATTTTAAACGACGCGCAATGCGAAGCAATCGAACCGAAACCCGAAGAAGAAAAATCTTGCAACGTACGCCCCTGCGAGGGTGTCGACTGGATCGCGTCCGCGTGGAGTGGGGTACCCTTTTCGATTTTAATCACCGGCCGCAAGTAATATTATCACTTTCAGTGCGACGCGGTTTGCGGTTTGACAAACGAGACCAGGAAAATCTTCTGCGCCACTGCCAGCGGACAAATATACGCGAATGAATTATGTGAAGAAACTTCGAAACCGGACACAGTGCGAAAATGCGAATCCTCCAATGCCTCTTGCCAGTACTTGTGGTACGTCTCTCAGTGGAGTGAGGTAATTTGTACTTATATACTTTGTCCCGAAGTATATCGTCTTGACTTTTGAAGGCAATTATTGAAATAAGCTGAATTTTGAAATCGAAGGTGCTTTTATCTGACAGTTTTTATTATAATCAACTCATCTTTTGGATATCCTTGCATATTTAATCTGTGCAATTCCATTACCAGTTGTTTTTGTCTATTTTGCGGCATTTAAAGCCTATTTTACAAAAGACTGTATAAAGGTTGGTTAGGCTAATAATTTATTGGTTGCACCTTCTTCTAACTTTCTTGTCAGGAACAATATCTTTTTTAAGGATATTGGCGTTTTTGTCAGTTTAAAGCTTCTTGTTTCATTAATCCTCTACTTATTAAACACTAGTAAACATTTTTCACAATTTGTTTTGCATCTAATCACGGTAAAACGAGTAATTCAAACTGTCACTGATATGAAGTGGTCGACATCTATCTGGCTCGCCCCTCTCTTGTCCCTAACCTATGAATAAATTATTGGTTGTTGTTGTTACCCAGCACCAATAGGTCGTAATTACTTTTTTGGAGCCAAGATTATATACATTAAGCCACAAAATAGATCATCTTTGAAGCAGTCCGAAAGCTCTCATTTTTATAGTGTTCGGCAAAGTGCGGTCAGGGAATCCAAAGCAGAACTTCATTTTGCGGACTCGCCACTAAAGAAGGGGTGAAAAGGGTCGAAAATGACAAGTGCGACCAGTCTAACAAATTCGAAACTCTTAGAAATTGTACTGGAACCGAAGAGTGCGACGGCGAATGGTTCAGTGGTCCGTTTGGGGAAGTAAGTTACGACTCACGCAGGCGAATTTCGGGGAAATCCGGGCTAAAAATCGGATATTCGAACATGAGAATTTCAGACAAATTACATTTGGACTTAATTACATCTCAATAAATTTTTTCGTAGCTTAAGGTTTTATTATAAGAGAAAGGATATTTAAAAGGGGTTTTCGTGTTCTCAGTTTTGTAAGTTGAATAGCAAAACTCTTTGAGTTTTAAAATATTGCATTCAAAACGTTTCCGTTACTTTATCTATGAAACCTTTGGAGTTGGTAACTCCACATTTTACAGCGCTTTTAAAAATCATATTACAAAACTTTTACTCCTGCGGTTTTATTGATTAATCCGTAAAACTTTTATAAATCTTACAGTACATAATAAACAGCTACTGTGAAACCTGGACACCCACGCGCTTGGAATTACCTTCAAAGACGATGCTGTTTTCCCAACTCCTCTCCTTTGCACAATTTTAAAAGGCATTAGTTTAATTCTAAATTTTTATAAAACTAAACACAATTGTTTTAATAACAAATACAGCTACTGAAAAGTGAGGTTATGATTTCACAATTGACATTTATGCGCACTAATAGTTTTTTAAAAGTTTTTAAAAAGCCAACTCGCTGAACCTAGCGTCCTTTTATATACCGATCGATACTTATACCTTCATAAAAAAGGAACAATATCATATTTTTATCCATATTCCTAAAACTTAAAGACATATTTCTTAAAAAATGTTAAATGCGTTTTAAAGTGCTCAAAAAGGACGGCGCTTCAATTTTAGGAAGGGTAAAATATAAAATTACATAAATTTTTCATACCAAATAAAATTAAGTCTTTGTAGGAAAATTTCCGAATTTTTGGGTTGTTATAATATTTAAAAAGACGTTTCTTTAATAATGTACAAGTAAATATCCACTGGTGGCAACTTAAGAGTAAAAACAAAATACCATGACAAGGATTCAAAATGAAATATATGATTTACAAATGATTTAGAAAAAGATGAAGCGAAAAGGAGCGGTTTTTTGTTTGGTGTTTATAAATGGTGTGGGTAGTTTTTATAAATGTAATGAAAACATATTCTGTGGCGTGATAAAACTTATTTATGTTTTGTAAAGGTAAAATGTTTAAATGGTACTAAAATATTTATAAAAGCACCTTTTTTTCAATAATTTTTACTGACTTAATATCTTAAAAAAATCATCACTTCAAATTTCACTTTTTTTTAGAAAAGTTTGTATTAATTGTATTGTATCAATAATTATTTCATTGTGGTATTTATGAAATATCATTGACTTAAACTAACTAAGTAATATAATCAATAAAATTAAAGAGAACCAGGAAATAGTAGCCCAAACTAAAAATATAGTTCAGGATTTATTTTTAAAAGATTTTGATTAGCTGTCTATAGACCAAAACCTCGATTTCATAGTACAAAAGATTGCAAACCATACCCACTGGCTTTGAGGTAAACAAAAAATCTACGTTAAAATTGTTAAAAAGTATATTGAGTTATATGCATGATATAATATGGTAAAGCTTCTGTTCACAAAATTCTTCTTCTTAGCTCTGAAATCATATATATCATATTTTATTATTCCCATTGGACAGCTGAGTGAAGAAGCTCAAACCACATAAAGATTTTCAAAAGTATTTGGAATTAAACGCTAGAAAATTTACTAGAAACAAAATATGGAGGACATTTTTAATTCAGCTACTTCAAATAAGAATAGAAAGACTGCTAAAAAATTCGAACAGTACCAGATTGAAGTGTTAACTTTCCTCGAGGAACCACAAGTAACAGCGACGGTAATATTATTGAATTAGCTTAAAAAGAACTTTTAGTTTATTGCAAATTTAGGTAGCACTTTCGAAAGCCAATTTAAAATTGGTTATATTTTTTAAATTATTTATTTATTATTATTATTTATTTATTACTACTAAAGAAAGTTCTTCACAGTCCGCTACAAATCACACTATTGAGTGAAATAAAAGTAAAGAAAGTGAAAAACATTTGAAAAAAATATATTTCTCCACATTTTTGGCCGAGATTTCGTCTACATTCATCTTTGCGTGACGGTCAGGTTTAGATAATTTTTTTCATTCGACATCTATTGTAGTGTTCAAAACCGTGCGGAGGCGGCGAAAAATCTAGAAAAGTGGTTTGCATCAAGGGCAACGAAGTGGTCGATATTTCGCATTGCGCTCCGGAAGACATAATTTTCGGCAACGAAGATTGCAACAGTCAACCCTGCTCTGATGGTAACATTACATTCGTTTATAAGTTCGCTCCCGTCACAACTTACCGAATTTTCACAGATGCTGTAATACCTACTGATTTAACCAAACCCAATGTCGAAACAACTAAAGAACAAGAAAAACCGACAACTAGCGCCGCGGAAAGTACGGAAACTTCTACAGAACTAACGCTTTCGGATCTATGGTCGGATACGCCCCAAGACGCAGAAACGTCCGAATCCCAAACGGACATTGCGAGCATAACGAAAAATTTCGAAATAACCCCCGAACCACCATTGGAACAGCAGCCCAAGGAAACCGACGATGACTATGAAATTGTACCTGCCGAAGAATGCGACGACGGAGAGTGGATAGACGTTGCCGTTCTCCAGGTTATTTTAAGCCCATTTTGGCTTCGTCAAGTTTCCCCCCTAGACATATTCCAAATCACCATAAATAATAATTATTACAATAATAAATAGCTTTTACAAAAGTACAACAGAAAAAACATGCCACGATAAAATTGGACAGGTGGCAGTCTGGCAGCGCTACTCCACCTAACCACCGATACAATGAAGTAGAATATTCAGAATTTAACAAGAAAAAACACACACAAATTCACAATATGACAATTTTAAACCAATCAAAAATTCCTAAAAAAAGAAACAAAAAAAATAGACACTGGAAAAAAGCAAGGATAAAATTTAAAAGCAATTAAAAGAGAAACAATAAGAAAAAAAGCGGTTCTGCCTCTGCTTAATCTCACCAGCTGTTTTGATTTCTTTTTAAATGTAGAAATAGATGAACAAGCAATAATATCTAGTGGAAGTGAATTGTAAGTTTTAATAGTGTTATATGTGAAAGAGTTCTGAAACGCAGCCGCTTGGGAACAGAACTGATTACCGTGACGAGTAATTATATCATAATATCAATATCAATTTTTCACAACCCAAATGAAATTTTGTTCACATTTTTTAAATAAAATACGAATGTAATATTATTGTTTAGTTATACAAATTAAAAAAAGAAATCATATTAAACAAAAATGCATAGACGTTAGTAAGCAAAGCAAAAGTAAATATATTCCATTAATAACAAGAAGTCTGCAAGTTTAGTGTTGAGAGGAACACATAATGGCGATAAGAAAATATATCTTAGATGCGCTTATTGATATTTTAAACTTAACATATTGTCGATTTCTATACCCAAATTTCTAGATGATTTAGTATATATATTCTGACTTTTTACCTTAAACGAATTTTTAATGTTGGTACTACCATTGGTAAACTCCAATACCGACTTCTTAGAAGCATTCCAAGTTTCAAATTGATTTTTTTTGTCAGAAAATTTGTTTAGCCTTTCTAAATCGTTATTACTTGAGCGTAGTTTTGTTAATCAGGCTTGAAGTACAACACCTGTATTTAAATACGCTATGCAGTCTATACACCTTCAGAACTAAAGAAGACTTTCCCAGGCTCTGATAATATCATCTGAAATGTGGAGCAAAGCAGTAATGCAGCTAAACCGTTTTCTAAAACCCGTTTGAAAATTGGATAAAATGTGATTAACATCTGGGTGTGGAAAGGGTCTTTTTTACTTCAAACAATTAATTACAATTTTATTATTATTTTAGTTCCCCCAGTGTGTAACCAAACATAAACTTTCTTGAACTATTAAAATGTTCGGTGTAAGCTTTGGTTAATTTTTTTTTATTAATAATGCAGTGAAAAAATACCCTGTCTCGAAATGGTACGGAAATTACGATATTAAAACCTTTGGATTTGGGTTGAAATCAGGGGGGGAATTTTGACGGAGCCAAGCGTTTGTTCTGCCGTATTTACTATTTGTTCTAGGTAGAAAAGGAAACAACACCTTACTTATCAACCTCTCCGGATATATCCGAAACCTCTTTCTCTTTGGACGATCTCATGCTGAGCGACGGAACTACCATCGGTGACGAAAGTGTGTTTACGGGTTCGGGCGACAGTGAGTCAAGTTTAAAAACCACTCTATCTATCGTAACCACAGAGGAAGAAGGGTCGGGCTCTGAAGCCTTTAGCATCGTAACCGATGCATCAAGTTCGGTATCGTATATAACGTCGGAAAAAGAATTAACTACAGCGGAAACGCCTCAGAGTTCCGACGTAGAAACTTCTACTGTTATTTCTCAGTCGTCTACAGAAGAACTTAGTACTGTGGAATCATCCAGTGGCACGGAAAGTTCTTTTGCAAGTGATGGATCCTCATCTCTTAGCACCTTGACGTCGGATGGTATTTCCAAGGGCACCACCTCTACCGAAACTGTCGAAACTGATACCGCTCCATCCTCAACTTCTACAGAATCAACAGAATCGAGCGACACCAGCACCAGTGAGACTTCGGTCCCCACGGAGACAATTACCACGGAAATACCTTCGGAAACTACCGAAACTGGCAGTTCCTACTCTAGCGAAAGTACCGAAAGTACCAGTACCGTCGAAATGACTTCCACTTCGAGCACAGAATATTCAACAACCGAAAGTTCTACGTTCACAGCAGAGAACATTGGAGAAGCCGATGATCTTCCAACTCCCAATCCCAGAATGATAGCCGAAGATGAAACCACGCCCTCCACGGCTAGTACCGACGTGACTAGCACCACCGAGGAAGTCATTGTTACACAATCCACCAGCACTACCGAAGAATCATACGACCAGTCGACTTTACCTGAAACGGAAACTTTCTTTGCATCGACGTCCACGGAATCAGAATTTTCGAGCACTACGGAATTCCCTGGCTCAACAGATGCAACACCTACAGGCGGTTCCTCAGTGTCTACAGAATTGAGTAGCGAATTTAGTACGGAAACCACAGAATCTACATCGGAAACGGATATTTTCTACAGCACGACCGAGACCGCAGAAGAGGGCAGCACTTGGGCCACCACGCACGTTACCGAACTGTTTAGAAAGAAACGGAGGATGTGTAAACGGAGAAAAATCATGCAATGCAAAAAAACGAAGTACGGGTGCTGTTGGGACAACATCACCTCGGCGAAAGGGCCGTTCGATAAGGGTTGTCCCAGTCCGAAAACTTGCAAGGAGTCTAAGTTCGGATGTTGCGACGACGGCGTGTCGGCGGCCCTGGGACCGAAACGCCGAGGATGTCCATCGAGTCGCTGCGACGAAACGTTGTTCGGATGCTGTTGGGATAATAAAACGCAAGCGGAAGGCAACGATAACGAAGGGTGCCCGCCGGAACCGCCGGCGTGTAGCAAGAGTGAGTGGGGCTGTTGCAAAGACAATGCGACGGAAGCTAAGGGACCCAAACAGCAAGGATGCGAAAAAGAACGTGGTACTGAGAGCCCTGAAATATTCACCACCACCGCAGCTGCTGATTGTTCTATTTCTACGTACGGATGTTGTCCGGACGGAACCGATGCAGAAGGTAATCTATTCCTCCAATATTGTATACAAGGGTAGTTCATTTATTATGGAATGATACCTTTTCCCATAATCTGTTAATAACATCAAAAAAACTTAAAGAAAAAAGTCGTTTGGATTTACTTACTTTTAAATTATTATACTCTGATATATACTGGATGTTTGTTGTTTCGTACATAAGCAACAACTTTCTTAATTTAAATAGAAAACGTATATTAAATATTTTTTGAAAATAATTTTGAATGATAATGAATATTGTAACCTAAGTGTTACCATTTGTCACGTTTGCGCCTGAAAGTATTTGTTATATATTTGTGGTCGATTTTCTTATGGAATGAAGTCTATTTTTTTCATCATTTTATGGTTTTTGGTATTTTACAAAATGGTGACTTGATAAAAACAACTAAGAAAGGGTATTATTTATTATTTGTTCAAAATGGGCAAACAATGGCGGTAAAAATAAAAATACCTTTTAACTGCAGAATGTTAAATATCCCTGATATAATAACAAATATATTTCCCCAGCCAGTCAATAAAAATGAACTTGATGATGAAAAATAAAAAGTTTCAAATGATTTTAAAAAAACAATTTCAGAATATAAAGCGTACTATAGTCGGCAAAATAAATTTATAATGAAGTGTAAAAATTCTTTTTATATGTCAAATGTAAATAAAAATAACAGAAATATTAGAAAAATGAAGTTATAAACGAAAACAAAAAACTACTTAATGAAAATATATCCTTAACAAAAAGCGATAATATTTTAACAGCTGATAAAAAAGAAGAAGCTAATATTTTTTTGTGAATATTTTATCAGTATAGGAGAAAAAAATGCTGCTAAAAGTTAGTTAGTTTTGCCCATCTCTCCTATAATTATAAAACAAAAAAGTGTAAGATTAATGTTTTTAGTACAATTGCGGTAAATAAAACACATAAAGAATAAAATTAGTTTTGGTTTGTGTGAATTAGTTGACAAGGTTTATAGTATTACCTATACATAAAGAAGGATGTAAGTCGGGTCTCCGTAATTATAGACCAATTAGTAATAGTCAAAAGCATAAATCACAGGAATCTGCGCTAGGACCTCCTATTATTTAATTTGTGTGAGGCAGTGTCATTTCCTACACGGTGGTTGTTTTTGGCAATTGTTCTTGGAAATGCATGAAGGTGACAAAAAAATTGATTGCATAAATTTTATAATTATGGGGAATTTTATTCCAAAAAAAAAAACTATTACACGCTTCTATGCAATCGGATTCAAATATAAGAGTATGTACAGTGTTCAGCTTGAGCGGCTAAGGGTAATACAAAATGCTATAGTGAAAATTATGTTTAAGAGACCACAATTTTACTCTACTGTGTCACTTTATAGTACAGATATCTGCAGTGTGTAGTACATTCTTTTTCTTGAATTCCCGTTTATACATTCATATATATGCTTTCAGTCAAACACTAACCAATCATAACTATCAAACTATCGTCCCAAAACTCGCCAAAAATATATATTAAAATTGAATTATTCGAAATTGATAATAGATATATATTAATTAATATTAACACAAATAGGTGTCTTTTAAGCCTAAATATCCAGACCAAATAGATAGTGTAATATCGTAAAATATCGTAAAAAAAACTTACATTAATTTGAAAACTAATCAAAACACGATGAAAATAACATTTTTACAATTTTAGGACCAAATTATCAAGGATGTGACATACCGTGTTCCAATAGCACTTACGGGTGCTGCCCAGATAAAGAATCCCCGGCACACGGACCCAATGCTGAAGGGTGCTGCCTGTCTGGCCCATTCGGATGCTGTCCCGACGATATTACTCCCGCTACGGGCGCTAACAACGAAGGGTGTCAATGTCAATACTCCCCTTACGGATGTTGTCCCGACCAAACCACTTCCGCCAAAGGTGAACTACGTCCAAGATTTCTAAATGCTATAGGTTATCTTACACTTCCCCTCACTTCAGTGCAAGTACACACCCAGTCTCCAAAGCGTATATCGACAGTTCTCTTTTCATCTCGGTTTAATGTGTATGTGTGGTCACACAGTAGTAATATAGATGCTCTATAAAAGAAAATATCATACTCAGAGATAATTTTCTTGCCAGTTTTTATAATAACTAAAGTATTTGCTACAATATTTTTTAAACTCTAAATGTAATATTCACATTGCCGTATTTCGCTCAAAGTATATCCTTGCCGTTTTCGTAATGACCTGCCGACGCCAAGAAAAAACTTGACCAAGCGATATTACTTGACAGAGCATCAATAACCGACTTTTAAGATTTTTCAAAAAAACTCCCACAGGCTATTGTAATACTTTTTATAAAACTTCAGGATTCTGGTTCGCATTGTACTCTGTACCTGCTTTTATATTGTTTGAGGTGGGCGGAGTTCAATGAGGGGCATAAACACCGTCTCGAATGACCTACAGCAGCATGCCCCATCTTTTTAACTAAACACTTCCAAGTTCCACTTTCGGCTAACTGAATTCAAAATCATTCATTTCAATTCAATTCATTCATTCATTCAATCATTTTGTGACAAATATTCTTGAATTCTTGAAATTTGATGAATTTGATTATTTGATTGTTATTCATTATAAAGTAACACTGAATACTTTTTAAAAATAATTTTGAAACCAAGGTTCTACACTTGTACTTCCATGATAGTCCAACCTAGAGTCATTAATATTCTTCGCAGATAACAAGCAGTTTGGAATAAATCCTTTTCTTGATACAGCGTGATGCGCTTAACTTTATTTGAAGGTGATTTTGTCTGTCAGTTTTCACTGACATCAACCTATCCTTCGTTTATGAAGTTAATCAAATCACTAAGTCCGCAATATGTGTGATACCATTACCACTTTTTTTCTATTTTTCAAATAACTGTATAGAGAGTGGCACGGATAATAATTATATTGTTTTCATCTTCTCCTAAGTTCCTATTTAGTGGATCCACAGTAATTGGTAAAAGGAATACGTTTTAATTTTTATCATATCCTCTACTTATTAAATATACATACACATTTTTCAAAATTATTTTGCATCTGAGTGATGTACTCGTAAGAGGCTTTTTTTCGAAATGCACTGTAATACGTTTTATTCGCGTCGTCGACATTACCTGACTTGCTCCTGTCTTGTCTCTTACCTTTGATTAAATTATTGGTTGTTTGGTTTACCCAGGAACAATAGCCGTCATTATTTTTTGAAGGAGGGTCCCTCAAAAGCCTAAACTTATACTTTAAGGCACACTTTACTTTAAGATATAAAATATCAGTGTATCGTAGCTATAAACCCTGTAACCTATATATAAATATTATATTTAGATAATTAACACAGGGAAGATGCATTAGATTTTACTTCTCTTGAGTTACTACGGGATTTTAATTTGACCGCGCTTAGGGTATAACAACGCCGGATGTGGCTGCAAGTACACGGAATATGGTTGCTGTCCGGACGACTTCACGGAAGCGTCGGGTCCCGATTACGAGGGATGTTTGTGTCACACTTACCAATTTGGTTGTTGTCCCGATGGAGTTTCCATTGCGCAAGGTCCACACCAACAAGGTACGTTGGAATTGAGTCATATAATGGGAGTTTGATTAAATTTATTATTATTGACAAAAACATGAAAAATACAATTAGATAAAAAAATAATAAATGTACTTGCTATTAATTATCTGATCTGTGTTAGATTTTACGTTGCCTTCAAATTGAACGAGTAGTCTTTAACTTTCTTTTTAAAGAGGATTATATAAGTCATAAAGAAGACTATTAACGGTAGACATTTTCAACTTCAGAGCAGGTAAATTATTGCCTAATCTGCTAATAACATTGATAATTATCGGAATTTTAGGAATATACTCACGGTATATATATATATATATATATATATATATATATATATATATATATATATATATATATATATATATATATATATATATATATATTAGGAAATTTATTTTCTCAATTTTTCACTTTTATAGCAACAAGAGAGTCAAATAAGAGTCTAATTTGGTAGCGAAAATTTAATTTCAATTTTCACCTGTGTATACGTCTCCGTGTACCTAAAAGCATATTTTTTTAAATAACTTGTGAAGACAATTACTAAGTGTAGTATCAGCAAACTTTGAATTTGAAATTTGAATTTGTTGTCAAGATATGAATACGTACCTTAATTTTAGACCGTATTTCTTAAATCTTTTAATTAAAAATAACATTTTCTTCCTTCGTCACTTACGGATGTGTTGCCGGTAAGCTTCGCAAAAAAAAGAAATTTCGTAATTTTTAATCATCTAAAAAAAATGCAGGATGCGATTGCAGAACCAGCGAGTTCGGATGTTGTTCGGACGAAAAAACAAAAGCCTCAGGACCAAATATGGCAGGATGCGGATGCGAAACTACAAAATACGGTTGCTGTTTGGACGGAGTCGCAGAGGCCAAAGGCGATAATTTCGAAGGATGTGTGGAAATTCCCATCGATCATCAAGGTTCGTATCAGAATGGGATATAGATAAAGAAAAGCAATGAGATTTGAAAAACACATTTTTAACGTGAGTGCACGACCTGCGTGGAATTTTTTTTGTCTTCATAGAAACTTCTGCAGAAATATGCTCCGCAGCGCTGTTTGAAACTGAGGGCAACATTTTGCGAAACAAGCCATGGACAAGTTCAATCTAAAACTGAAACTTTGGAAAAAATATGCACATATTATTTTTGTTATCCGGCGACGCGGCCAGTGATTTCTTCAATCCTTTCTGAATAACACCCTTTCCTTTCTAGAGCTGCTTATTAATCGAAAACTGATCGATACCTCAATGTAATCACCCATCAGCATCCAACCTAAAAATCCGTATTTTTAAAGCAATATCACTGCCCAATCCGAATCCCTTGATCTGCAAGTAACACATCTCACATCAGTTCTTCTTTCAAACAACTACCATTATATCACAATATCATACTTTTGACAAAGAAATACACTTCACCAAAAACACTTACACCATTAGTAATTGTAGTACTTCAATTAAATAACAAATTTTTGAAAATAAATCATCAAAACTAGATTCTCAAATTGTCCTAAAATCTCTCAATATTAAAGAAACAAGTCAAAATACATCAACTAGACTAAAAAAACACTTGGAATTAGTCAGATTTCGTCATCAGAATACAGGACCCCAGATTTTATTTGATCACACCAAAACACTTTCTGCTCTCCAGAGTCTATTCAAAACATTAAAGATCCTAATAGATAGAGGTTTCTATCTCTCGTTCATTTCGGATTTGGACATGCATCAAGTAACTAAACCTCCCTCCCCACTCCCCTTACATATTTAAGGTGTATATGCAAAGCAATCGATCCTCAGTTTCACTATATTTGGCGGAACGTCAGTCAGACTACGTCATTGCCAATCAGAAGTTTTATGTTGTAATTAAGCAATATCATACTATGTGAAATTAGTCATATTCAGATATTATTTGGCGTAGAAATTTTTCGCAGCATATTCAAAATCACACTCATATTCTTCACGTTTAGATAGTTGTTCGTTGCCTAAAGAACGGGGTCCGTGTAGGAACTATACCGTAAAATGGTTCTTCGATATGAGTTACGGTGGCTGCTCTCGATTTTGGTACGGAGGATGTGAGGGAAACGACAACAGATTTAAGAGTAAAGAAGAATGTGATCAAACTTGTGTTAGTCCGCAGGGACCAGGTATGTTATATTAGGAACAGAAAACTCTAAACGACGTCGCATATACTTAAAATCCTGCTATTAAATGTACCAAAGTATAAAGCACAATTATATAAAATAAAATTGTTAACTTACTTAATGATTACTGTTTGTCTAGTACACAATATTTGGTAAACAATAATTGATTTTAACTCCAAATGGGTTTCAGCCCTAGTTTTCGTGAACAACTTTTTTTTTAACTGTGTTCTTACATTTTTGAGCAATTTTTGTAGTTGCTGTGTTTAGAACATACTTGTTTAGTCGTTAACATATGGAAATTTATTATATTTGAGGACAGTAGTTCTACTTCCAGCAGTTGTAATTTGCGTTTTGTTATTGACCAAAAGTTTGTTAATATTACTCGAAGGGAAGGTTTTTTATTGAAAAAGTCTTATTTTGTCTAGATTAACTCTCCAAAATTCTTGAGAAGATAGTGATCTTAGTTTTAGGTTTTATACAATATTGGTTTATTTATAAATATAATTTATAAATATAATTTATAAATATAATTTAGATACCTTTCTGAAAAGGTCGATTTATGATACCAATCTATAATAATAACGTTATCTCGTCTAATAACCAACACGTCTAAAAACGGAAGTTTTCCGGAACAAGTTGATTATTTTCACAACTTTTAAGAGCTAGACACACAAAGGCAAACCTGACAGGAAATAAACAAAATAAAAAGTTCATTAACACTTTTAGGTAGAGTATTAAAGAAGGGGAAAGATTTTTTTTTCTTTTTTTTTTTCGTAAAAATGTTTTATTTATTTCCCATTTTCTATTCGAGCTGTAATTTCTAACTAACCTATTCTTCCGCTTTTTTGTTGGCAAAAAAACATGATAGGGTTACAAAATTCATTTTGGCCTTTCGAGCCGGATCACTTACAAGGAAAGGTTAAATATAAATTCCCGTTTGTATTTTTAAGTGTTCAGAAATAGAAAAAGCAAATTTTAGTTCAATAAATTTAAAACTTCTAACAGCAAACATTTTACACTCAATCGATACAGATAGGTGCAATCTACCGAAAGTGGCTGGTTCCTGCGAAGGGTACTTCCCTCAGTGGTATTACGACAAAAGTTCTCGACAGTGCACTCAGTTTATTTACGGCGGGTGCCTCGGCAATAACAATAAATTTGACACGAGGGAGGAATGTACAGAAATTTGCGTCAAAGACGACAGCGTCGGTAAGTGGTAATGCTGACAACTTCCTACTTCGCAAGGTCGCGCAAAACTTAAGTATGAGTCTCCACATTAAGGGAGCGATATATCTGGTTGCATGACGTTCATAATATCAAATATAGGCGAAAATGTAGAATTGACTGACAAATAAAAAGACCCAATATTTTAAATTTGCTTCTTCGACATAAAATGACCTGTTACTTGCCGGAAACTAAACTATTTGAAAGTAAACTATCTATAATTAAAAATGGTGTAATAATTCATACAGAGGTTCTGCATATTTATTTTAAAAATGTTTTTTTAATGAATAATGATTTCGGACGAGGGTGTGATCAAATTTTCAAAGTTATTGTTATATTCAAAATAATAGGCAGAACAAAGTTGTATTGCAAAAGTATTGTAACTGAATTATGCTCGTCACTTTTCATAAATTAATTTGCTCTTTTAAGAACTATAAGTTATGCTTTTTTTTTCAGGAGTTTTTTCTCAAACTGTACTTAAATAAGTCGATACTTTTTCTGAATTGCTTTATATTTTTCGGCATTAAATTTAAAAATTTAAAAATCTAATCTAACAAATATTTTTTTAAACTGATTTATATCGGTTACTCTAACTAGAAATTTTATGGCTATTTTATCGGAACATGCAATTTTTGTAATAGCAATGCCACGCTCATTGACTGACAAATAAAAATTTGTGGGACACATTAACGCGACATTTTAAACTTAGATCTTCAACGTGAAATACACAAATGTTTAAGTGGCCTTTTGTGACGTGTCAACAATTGTCTATATTTAAACCATTAATTCTTTTCATAGGCTTCTTCAAAATTAGCATCGGATATTTTGTGTTGTATATACAAGTCGAGACTCAATCAAGACTTTGTGCTATTGCCTATTTGATGCTATCGAGTTCTAATTTTTGCCTTTTTACTAACTGACATTTTCTGTGACTACATTCGCGCTTAGGTAAACAACTCGGACAGCCAGGTAAAAGTGAACGTGAAGCAGAGATTGTATCATTAGCACTAAATAAAAAAAATACTAAATCAAAACTACTTCTAACTAAACGAGGTGATTTAAACTTAACTGATAGTACTTCTCCTGTGAATTTAACAGTGCCAGTTGTAACTCTTTCAACTTCATGCGATTAAAAATGAAGCTGAAATACCTTAAACTTAATAAGATCAGAGAAAATTTTGGTCCATTCTTACAATTCCCGTTACAGTTCGGAACACAGCAAGTGTTTACCAGTACTATATCAAAGAAGATAGTAACACGCGAAAAACAAGGATTTATAATCATTAAATACAGATCCTCTAGTAAAAATGTTGAGGTATTATCTCGCACACATAAACAATTATGTAAATATCATCCTAATAAATATTTTTGTCGCACAAACTAACTCTAAGATTTGTAATGACTGTTTCGCGAATACTGGTTCTTTTAATTTGTCACTGTTTCAGTATCAAATTCCTATTAAGGAGTATGTATTTCTAAACCATCAGAAATAACCCAATGAAAACGTGCCACACATAACCTGAAAAGCGACCGGCATTTATCCTCCCTTTCACCTTATTATAGAGGTTGTCTTGTGACACAAACGATTGTAAAAACCTATTTTAGATCCGTGCGAACAGGGCAAAGAAGAAGGACCTTGTCAAGGTCAGTACAGGAGGTACTTCTACGATAAGACATCCGGAGAATGTACAGAGTTTACGTATGGCGGGTGCAAAGGAAACCGGAACAATTTCGCCACTATCGAAGCTTGCAAACAAAGCTGCGCCGCCCCTGGCGTCAAAAGAGGTAAAATTAGAATAGAGTTTTTAATCCTTCGATTGTCCTCGAATGTTTACATTAATAGATTATTAATTTTCATTAAATGTTTAAGAAGCAACATTGGATTCGATAGACTTATTTATAAATTATTTATTATTATTTATAAACTATTGTTATTATAATAGAGCCTTGCGGTGCAACGGAAATTAAAAAGGACATTTTTCAGACCGAAAAAAAGACGCACACAGCTTATTAATTTACTGACATCATATAATTTAATTAGTGAATCTGGACCACCCTGATGCCGAATCGATATTTTGTTCCACCCAAATCGGATCGAATAAATTACTTTTTGGGGTTTGAACTTATGTGAAAAGCAATGATCGTGTTAAAAGTTATTCGAGAACCCTTTGTAATAGTAGTAGAAAAAATAATACAGTTTTTTTTTCGTATTTGAGCTTTTTAAATGCTCAATTGGCAACGCAGCACTATGGCAAACTTTATTTATGGATTATTTAGTCCCACGGCAGTATTTTATAACCAAATTTTTGAAAGCAATAACGTCGATAACGTCCTGGATTTCGGTAATAGGTAACTGGTAAACTTTTAATTAAATTTTGGATGCATGGAATTTAGAATATTAATCCGGATAGTTTTGCGGCATTTTGACTAATCCCGTTGTTTTATAATAATTATAATAGTATTTGCTAAATCAAAATGGCGAGGTAGATAGAATTCTTAATTTAGCTGCTTGTTAGATTATTGCACGATACCAAAGAGTGAGGGTAACTGCACGGGGAAAGAAGCTAGATGGTATCACAGCGAAATTAGTAATCGTTGCACTCCCTTCTATTTTTCCGGATGTAACGGTAACAAAAATAGTTTCGATAGCAAAGAAGCATGCGAAGACGACTGCCCCCCCGAAATTGGTGAGTTCGGTTTGCTTTGTTCAACCGCTTCAATTTCATTTTCCTGCTAACCTGCACACATTAAATTGCACCATAACAATATTAAAAAAATATATACTCTTAATAATTTAAATTTGAGTGTAGTTATTGCCTTCCACTGGCTATGTCAGAAATAAACTTAAATTAAAATTAACGTAACACTAAAATTTGCATCGACTTCAAAGTTAATTTTCTCGCCAACCACTGAATCGATTTGGATATCTAGATTTTTTTAATTCTAGCTTAGATCTCCAGAACTGACGTCATGAAAAACATTTTTTTTAATCTAATTAAATTTTATACTCTGAGTTTTTCATATTCTAGGGGAAACACTATTAGATCTAGGTGTTTTGTTCACGTCTATATCTCATTTATGAAATGAAATACGAAATTTAATGTCAAACGAATAAATTTGCCAGATTACAAGAATAGTTTTCGCTGCAGTCCAGGACCTTAACCTAATGGAATATTTATGGGATGAAATGGGTAGATAGCTTAGAGATCATCAACAAATTAAATGTCCGTTTCAAATCATGAATCGATGTCAACCGGTTATAAGGAGTAGGAGAGCAAATTTTTTTTTGTAAAAAAATGTAATTGTTAAGTTTGACATTAAATTCCATATTTCATTTAGTAAAAAAGGGTTAAGAAAAGACGTGGTTATGCATTAATTTAGACAGGCACCTAATAGTATCAACGGGGATTACCACCGAATGTGACGAACATTGAGTATTATACTGGTTTTTCTTTAAATACTCTCTACGTGACTAAATGTACAATTTAAACAAATATCTAAATTGCGATTTAAATATATATATATATATGCGTTAATGTTCATGCGAATTGTAAAACGGACCTATCATAGAAAAACCTAATAAGCGGATAGGGAAACGTGACACTAAGGATTACAGTTAAATTTCGTTCAATATATTTATTATATTTGTATCGTGTCATTGATATATATCGCACATATTTTCAAACAGCCATTTTTTTCATTATTTCAAATATATGAAGAGTAGTGGGGAAAATAGATGAGGGTCCATTTTTTGCCTAAATAAGACCAACTGTTATTTCGTATAATATATCGGCTATAGAATACAATCAACCTATAAAAAATGGCTAGAAAGATTACTTGTTTTATTGACGTTGAAGTTTATTAGCATAATTTAAAGGTTAACTAGTCATTACACTGGACACACTGGACTGGACATGTGGACTGGACTGGACAAAGCGTCTATGTTTAATCAACTACAAAGTTATGATGAACAATCCCTTTATCTAAGTGGTTTAATAACTTGGAAACCTGTAACACGCCATCGCCCCAGGAAATCTGAAGATGAAGCTGATTTTCATTCATTTTCGCATACTTATAAGGTGAGATTGATAGAAAACAACGAACTTTGTGAAATTCCAATGTGGTATAAACCTGCAAAAAGGCTACAAAGTATACAACGCCGATTGAAATAGATGTTTTGAGAGTAGAAAGTCTCACTATGGCTTGGCTAAAACAACAAAGGTTTATTTACTTGCTGAGCTCAATATTAAGAAAATGTGCCCTATGTACAAAGAAAAATATCCTGATAAATTAGTTTGTTATCAAAAATATAGAGAAATATCCAACAGCACGTTTAATATTGCTTTTGTAAAGTAAAAATTGACGCATTGAAAAAAAAATCAAAGTGGAGATGATTGCAATGCACTGCAGTTACACACAGCAAGCTTGCAGTTGAAAAAGAAGTACATTTAAAAAAAGCAGACACCTTTTATAAACGCAAAAAAGCTGCTAGACTTGAGGTTCGAAAAGACAAAAGCAAAGAAGCTATTGTAATGGATTTTCAAAAAAAAAAACACGTAGACCATCTTTCGTTCTACATGTTCAACATACATGTCCTTTCGACCTCTGAAACTCTTTTCTATACTTATACTGAAGTTTCAGGAAAAAAGGGTGCTGATGATATTTCTTCACTGCTATGGGATTACATTTTTAATCATCTGAATTTTGATATCAAGAAGCTTACAATATTTTGTGATTCATGCTGTGGACAAAATAAAAATTTTGCTATGTTTAGATTATTACATTGTTGTTTATTTACTTATAGGCTTAACATAATCAAAATGGTTTTTTTGTTCGTAGACATTCGTATCTAGAATGCGATAGAAATATGGGTTGAGTGAAACAGAAGACGTACGTTGAACTGCCTCAAGAATGAAATGGAGTTAGGGATTCCCGAACAAAACCAAGCCCTTTTGAAGTTATTTCTTGTGAAGATCAGTCCATTTTTAAAAGTTGAACCCATTTTCTAGCGGATATCTATATGCCCAAGTGTCGTTTTCCTTCAAGAATTAACTATAACCGTTACCTCGCTACCTGAAAAGTGTTTTTTTGCTTCCAACTTTAGCTTATAATGGGCCTGTATCTAAAGCTAAATTTCAAGACCTACAGCATCTAAAAAGATTCGGTTCTCAAAAAGCGCAGAATTTTTTTACAGCAATACCACATTGATAAGATTACAATAATAGATTATGGACTTTCATCTTTATTGCCAAGTTTTTTTTGTATTGGAATCAAAATTTCTTTTTATACTTTTGCATTGACAATTTATATATTTTTTGTAAGTTGGCAATAATTATATTCCAAAATCCTATTTTTGTTTATCATATTCTAGAGTAGTCTAAATAAAAATCACAATTACTCAGAATTAAGTTTTTTGGACCCGTATCTTTTTTCCTCTGTACTCTTCATATGGTGGTTTGTTATTATTATTTTGAAAATTTTTGAAACGGATTTCGAGAACCTTGTTTTTTCTCATACAAAAAGAATAAAAAAATCATCTTTTCCATTTTTTTTTCAGTACCAAATTGAAATATTCGGAACGAAATTATAAAACCTACATATACATTTTAAGTTTGTCTCTCATCTCTTCATATAAAGATATAAAGCCATTTGGTACCTACTTTATTCCCCATAATTTTCATAACTTTTAATATTTTCTGTTATCTGATGCATTTCCCGATGCACATAATATTTGGACGTTTGAAAGTTTTGTGAAATTTTTAAATCGGTAAACCGATAACGTAGTAGATATTTATCGCTTTACCATAAAGTAAAAGGTGAATCAAACTGGAGATATTTAAATGGAGATAGACGAACACTAATATCAGTGTCTGGAGGTCTTTCATTAGAAACATAATGGTAAAAACCGAAAATAAATTTAGAAATAGATTCCTAGTATCGTTTCAGCGTAAAAATTAACTTTTTTTCAAATTGACACCTAAAGTAACGAAGAAGGGGGCAAGCCTTAGAATTCACATTTTCAAATATAGCCAAGGACACGTGCCACCTACCGGCCGATATTGGCGAATGCGGTAACTACGTCGAACGTTGGTACTTCGACACCAAGGATAAGCGATGCCGCCAGTTTTACTATGGCGGTTGTGGCGGTAACGGTAACAACTTTCAAGCAAGAGAAGAGTGCGAACAGTCATGCGAAACTCCATCGCAACAACCCGAACAGGCACCTACTCAACCAGCTCGGCCTACGGCACAACCTACTGCTCCTTACATTACTTCTTTGGCAGTCACTATCGAACGTACGTAGAACTTTTAAAAAAGTAATCTTACTGTTCACGTATGGTCCGTAATGAATAAGCCAAAAACCAACCGTAGATTAAACTCATGAATATAATGATATTGCGAAAAATATGCCTTATTAAAATGTCTTTCATTAGAGAGATACAGGTTGTTAAAATGTAGTTCTAGTAATTGTTATCTTTCTATATCTCAAGCCGTTTTTGAAATATAGACATGAAAACTTGGATTACTTATTACTCTCTCATTATTCTCATTACTTTTTTGATGATTTTTAAGTAAAAAAAAAGCTGTACTTCATTTACTTCTACAAAATACCCTATTTTCGAGATATTTGAATTTTAATACATTCACCTCCTACATGTTAAAAAATTGAACGTATTCGTCTTATAAAACCCGTGAATCCAAGTTTTAATGACTATAATTTCAAGAACTAAACCTTAACCGCATGTCACTAACGATTGACATTTTGCTGATGCATACTTGGCTATGTATATTATTATATTCACGAGTTTATTCTAGGATTGCTTTTTGGCGCATTCATTGCGGAACCAGGTATAGTAAATGGGGAAATTTTAACTGTGATCGTCAAATGACACTCAGCATTGCCAAACTGTTAAATTTCTTCGATTTAAGCAGGAAATTATGTAAAACTGTAAAATACTGGGTTTTATTGCCACCTGTTTGAATAATGTAACTTAAAATCAACTCAATAGTAAGTAATTAAATTGAGTTTATTAAAAAAGTTACACCCTGGTCAAAAACATAGATTTTCACACGTTCTTTGCTCAGTGTAAGTAAACAAGTAAATAATTGTTTTCTTTTAAATATATTTATTATTTATCTAACCGGCTACAGCAACTTTAAATTCCAAAAAAAATGGTTGTTTTATTGATATCATTTGTTTTTTGTTCAAAATTATTATGAAAATTTCATCACTTATGACAGTTTTATAAAAAGTATGTACGAAGGGGTAAAAATAGAAATAGAATTTTCAGAATTAGTATAAAGCTTCTTAAAACTAAACAAAATTAAATTAAAATTAAACGGAAAAGTAATTGATGGAGATACTAGACAAAAAGCGCTTGAGAGGTACCAAATTTACTCCGATGCTTTATTATTTCGTTCCTCAACCACCTATTTTCAACCTCCAGATCTATTAATGATCAGCATTATGCCATATTCACGTATGCCTCAATATTGCGTTCACAAATGTAGTGGAAAAGAGAGTGTACAAAGTAAGTATAAGTACAATTGGAATCTAACTCCAACAGTATCACAACATCTTAAAAGATTCGTGACATTGTAAGCTCTTATACATCCCTTTCAACAATTCCAAATCCTAGTCTAGCTCCTTTATCGAAGAGATATCCTTGTTCCAAACTTAGCACAGTCAAGTGTTCTTACTAGACACCGTAAGCTATGAAAGGTCAGTTATTCGAAATATTATTTTAAAATAACCTTCAACTAACCTTAAAAGATCAAATCCTGTTTTATCCAAAAGGACCTAAAACGGAGAATGTTAATTGTGGCATTAAATAAAAATAAAAGTGGTAGTGGTAGAAACGTTTAGACCCTTCGAGATTAATTGAAAAGGACAGTTATGACATAAAACATGGCAATAACTCCACCTACTGTGTAGGTAAACTGGGTGTTATCTTAATTCTGTGATTTTAGAAATATGTTCCATGCCTCCCGATCAAGGACCCTGCACAGAAAATATGACGGAACGTTCGTACTATGATAGAACCTACGGTGTCTGCAAGAACTTCACTTACGGAGGATGCGGGGGCAATTATAATAATTTTGCGTCAAGCGACGAATGTCTGCAGTACTGTGGTTATTCGCAAGGTAAGCGAATAATATTTTTAACTTGAGAGCACTTTTCTCATTTAGTTCCATAAAACAAAGCTTGGCCACTTGATATCGATGAAACTAAACTTTTCGATAACTTTTTTTAATCGACAGTAGAAATCGTGACAAACAGATATTTCATTATTCGTATTATTAAATGTTTTAGGTAGTTCTTCATTATCCGCTATTTTCTTAACGTTAACCACGGAATACCAAGTAGCGTATCAATTAAACTGGAGACCATATTACAAAAAAAAATGACCTTAAAAGCAGTTTAAACAGTATTAAAAACAAATTGGCTAACTTAACATTATTGAAGTTTTACATGCACACTCTAACCTCAAAAATTGGTTTGGTGGAAAAAAGAGTTGAAAGCAACGAGGAAATTATTACTGCTTGACGTTTCACTTTATAGAGACTATATAATGAAAATAGAGCTCCGATATGAAACATCTATTGAACTTTCTGAGAGTTATGTTGAAAAGTAAAGCTAAAAAATAATAAGAAAACGTGTTTATTTTCAGGCCCGGCACTTATCAGCCCACCCTCGTATATCCGCAATATAATTTATAAGAACCAACGTTATATTGATATTATGATATTATATTTCATTTAGCAACATTTCTGATTTAGATATTTGTTCGTTACCACCTGTCGCTGGGCCATGCGCAGGGGAATATGCGCAATTCTACTATGATCCTGCAAGTGACTCCTGTAGGGAATTCACATTTGGGGGATGTGAGGGCAACTTTAACAGATTTAACGATATCGCATCCTGCGAACAGCAGTGCCGAAAAACGCACTGGCCAGTTGCTGAGCCCATCCGAACTGATGCTCCACCCCAAGGTAAGCATAAAATGTACACAGTCGTATTTCCATTCAAAACTGTATAATAATAGCGAATAGCGTTTGCCTCTCTGAATCCCAGCTAACGTTTTTTGCAGCCTCAGATTTTATTATTAGGTAATGTATATTTATAAGTTTTTAGAAGTTTAGAAACATGAGCTTTTATTACAATTTTTAATTAAGACCAAAACATCTTAAGTTTTATAATATTGAATCCAAAACTTTTCCATTACTTTATAAAAAAAATCTTCGGTGTTGGTTACCTCAGACTTTCTTAAAGCTCAAAGCGTTCTTAAAAACATTATTGTTAAACTTTTACATTTGGGGTTTTACAGCTTACTCCGTAAAACCCATATACATCTCAAAGCATTTACTAAATCTTCTACAACAACTATTAATCCTGAACTTCAATGCACTTGAAACGTCTGTCAAAAATGGTGCTGTTTTCTCCAAATCTTCCGTTTACGCAATTTCAAGAACCAATTAATAAACAACCGAAAAGCGAGGCTGATTGCATAATTGACACTTGAAATTTGGGAACTAATAGTTTTTAATTGGTTTTCCAGTTACTTTTGGTTTTATAGGGGTTACAAAGGTTGTTATAAATGCATTTTTGATAATTTATGAAACTCTAAAACACCTAAATAAGTTTTATAGATGTTTCCCAGGATTTAATATTGCCAAAAAGTCTATAAGTTTTTAAAAAGCGAAGTTAGTCAAACATAAAAACCCTTATAAAAAGGAAGAATATCGCATTTAAGCAATCTTCCTGAAACTTGTATTGTATTTCTTTAAAAACATACGATTAAAAATCATCTGAATTTTAATTGCAAGGGCAAAATATAAAATTATTCGATAAATTTTTTGTTAAAAAAAAATTCAAAAACACAATTAAGTGGTCCTAGGAAATTTGTGATAAAGGTATTCTCATAATAATCTGGAAGTAAAAATCCATTGCTCTCAACTTTAGAGTAAAAGCGATATACGATAAGGACGCAAAATAAAAGGCAAGGTGAACCGAAAAGGGGGCGTTTTTGTTTAGTTCTTATAAAAACTGTAAGCAGATTTTATAACGGTATTGTCCTTATAAAACTTATTTGTGATTTATAAAAGTAACTTCTTAGTTACAACCAAATAGAGAGAAAAAGTTTTTTTTGGTAGCATATATATATATATATATATATATATATATATATATATATATATATATATATATATATATATATATATATATATATATATATATATATAATGCATACGTTCCCAGATTTTCTAAAATAAGTAATCGAAACGTAACCATTACCATTATAATACAAAAAATGTTAGTTGGGTTATTCGCTTTAAAAAAGAAATTACTACTTCACACACCGCACAAGCTATACGACATCGGGAATTACTTAAATGTGTTATATTTTCATCACTAATTAAACCAGCGCTCCCAAGCGACGTTGCCATGTGTTACGAAACCGTTAGTCCTGGAAACTGTTCGATGGAATATCCGGCATTCTATTATGATCCATCGACAGGAAAATGTTCCTCTTTCGTATATACTGGATGTCACGGAAATGAAAACAGGTTTTCCAGTGAGGAACAATGCGAAAGGCAATGCGGCGTTTTCAGGGGACAAGGTATACTGTTGCTCAAAGTATATTGTCTTGGCTTTTGACAGCAAATAACGCCAAATTAACCTGCCGACGGCAATTAGATATCTGCGCAGTCGGTATTAGGATGTTTAGATGTTTTAAAAGCAAATAGGTTAAATATTATATTATGTTTATTAAGGTGTGATAAAATCACACTTATTGGATTAATATTTATCATTTTATTTGTTATGACAACACGGTTCAGTTTTTCGTTTCACCTTTTGTAATCTGTATTTTATTCATCGCACTTTACTATTAAAACAGTCGGTGTTCCATAACGTTGCTTTAATATCCGCCACATAAAATACTCATAAAAAAGTACTAATAGAAAATACTATGACACAAATTATCGATAATTAACTATATAGGTAGGTTTTTATTCAAAGTTTAGAATCATCAATAAGAGCAATTAATTTTTTCAGCTCTCAAAAGATACATTATTAATTACACCTTTGAATTAAATTTGTTACACTAAAACTTAAATTAGATGGCACAATATATAATTCTTTGGATGAAGACATCAAATAGTATGCCCCATGTGGTCAGCTAAACTATCACATACATATTGTTTATTAATAAAATATGCATTTAACACTCCCAAAAGTTGCTCTTTCTTGAATTTTAGTTTTTATTTTTAATGAATTGGATGGACACTGTTATCTGGAATACTTTTTAAAGGATAATTTTGAAATCAATTTTTTAAAACTTCTGCACTTGTATCTTCATGTAAGTTCAAGTTAGAGTCTGCTCGAGAACCCTTAATACCCTTGACAGACAACAATAACAACAGACAACAATGCAGTAATTTGTTGTCCTTTATTTGAGGAAGCATTTGTCCGGAATCAACTCATCCTTTAGGTACTGTATCGTGCGTATTGATCTAAGGTTCATCTAGGTAACAAATACATCTGTTTTTCTACTCCCTTCTGTAAAATACCTAATTATACGCCGATCTAGCTTACGAAAAGAACATTTGCATATTTTATCACTTGAGTTTCATGTCCCACGGATCCGAGTCACTTCGGACAATTCCGGCATATTGCCGCACGGGTTTGGGAGCAATCGGATGTTTTCGGAGAGTTTATTCCACGGCTTGAATTGTGAAGGTTTTGTCAATTTTGGTGTTCATGTCAGTGAATGTATTCGTGTTGTTTTGCAAAAATGTAAAAACTAACCGCCGTAGAAAAATAATAGTATACAAACATTAGGTAAACTTTTTAAGTGACACATTTATTAAACACTTGCTCGGAAAACTCGTGACTCAAATGCCATTAACGACACTTGTTGCATAATATACTATTGCAGATCTGTACTCTTTAATTTACTGAATCTAATCAAGTTTCGAAGTGATCACTATGATCACTATTTTTTTTTCGTCCGATAATTCACCGTTAACAATTCTTTTATCGAGGATATTGGCGTTTGTTTAAGTAGGCAGTTTTTTTTCAACTTTTTGTTTAATGAGAAAATTCACACAGATTTTATTTTGCATTTGATAACAAGGGACTTAAGCTTTTTCGAAACGCACAGTAAAACGAGTTGTTTACAGTGTCACTGATACCAGTCGACACGTGGTGGACATCTACCTGTCTTCTCCCTTACCTGTGAATAAATTATTGATTGTAAAAAGAAAGTTCGTAATTACTTTTTGGGGTAGGGTCCGTTAAAAGCTAAGACGATATACTTTGAGACACACTATATATTATTTTTTCGTCACATCCAATCTCGCGACAGTGTCTAATTCTAAAATTTCCATATAGATGTTTGCAACATGGAACAGGATAGCGGTCCTTGCCGAGGATACTTTGTGAAATACTATTACGACAAAGCCGTCGGCCAGTGCGGTCAGTTTATATACGGAGGGTGTCAAGGCAATGGCAACAGGTTCAGTTCTCAGCAGGAGTGCGAGAACATTTGCGTGACGCATGAAGAGGCACGACCAAATTTAACCAGCACGGGTGGGTAGTCGTCAGGCATGCATTAGTGAAACAAATACATTTCGCATGCAAATTAACGCACGCTCATAAGTTTGGGTCAATTCTAAAGTTAATTTTCTCTCGAATTGCTATGAAACACATTTTTATTAAAATTTAAGTTGTAGACCTGTAGAGAGTATTAAAAGAAAAAATGGGTTCATTCTACATATTTGTAACATTCTGTGACAATTCCTATTAGGTGTCAAATACATGGCCCCATCTCTTCTCAGCATTTTGTTTTTTATTGATGCCTGTATGGGGTGTTTCCTCCCTTACTCCCTATAATCAATCGCTATCGACGACTCATACTTTGAACCAGACTTGTTTTAATTTGTGCTTGATCGATGCATGAGTACAAAGTTAAAATATACAATGAAATTGATTAAAAATATACGGCACACAAGACCATAGACTAGTTGAAAATCACAGAACTTTAAATTTTACGCAAACAACATTCTTCTGGATACTTATTTACCAATGTAACCATGTTATGATAATGATAACTATTAAAATCGCTGTATGAGAGAGGAAATCGTGCAAGATCTCTAGGTATAACATAAAATATTATGCCCATTGTTTCGGATGAGATAACTCCGTTAATAACGATCATAAAAAAGCAACCAATAACCATCAACCAGAACACAAAAATATATTTGTTGCTGGAAAACAAGGACCGCTTTATTTATGTATTTATTTATCTTAAAAAAGAGACCAATATTCCAATATTTTCTCCTATTCTGTAATGTAGCCAATTTGTTTTGAGTAATTATTTGATTCGGATATAAGTGCAAACCTTCTAGAGAAAGAAGCCTTATACTGTAGATGTTTAAGAAACTTTTTCTGATTAGCCTCCATACATTTTATATGCACTTCATAGTTAGGTCAGCATATTATAGAACCACATTACAAAACTGATCAGACATACGAAACAACACAATCCAAATCACATGTGCTATTTTTTGTACAATTTTTAGAGTATGTGGTCTCACATTATAAAACAATCTGTGCAATCTGGCGATGATACTTAATAACTGAGATAATCATCTTAAATTTCCGTAAAATGGGATTTTTCCTTAATTTAGCAACATACGAGTATTACGAACTTATACATACAGCGCAGTCACACATCATCCAAATCACAATTCCTCCTCACTTTTTTCGTCAGGGATTTTTCTCTCTACCAATGTCCTAGGAGTATTGATTCTATGCACCAAGGTTTCAATATTTCAATCATTTAAATAATTTCGTACTATTCGTGCAGTATGTGGTCTGGCATTCCTCTTGAAATCAGGCAAACTGGACATTAAATAAGTAAATAAGTGCGTAAGAAGGATGTGACTAAAAAACAAAATGCTGAGAAGAAAAAACTAAACATCGAATATAAAACTGACTTTTTTTAACACGCTACTACTGCTTTTCTTTAACATAACTAAATTTATATTTAATTGATTCTTGTAGCAACATTTCTGTAGATTTAAGCTACAATTAAAAAAATATATATCCACATCGAGTGAGCAGTTCGCGACAAAATTAATTTTGAACTGACCCAAATTTTAACTGTGCGTGAATTTCGATATGTCGGGGTAGTGTTTTAAAAACTGCTAATGTTTTTCCTAGCGATATGCCAGTTACCGGCGGATCAAGGTTCTTGTCCCGAAGCGTACCTTAAACGTTGGTATTTTGACAACACTCGCGGTGAATGCGTTGCTTTCATCTACACCGGGTGTGGAGGCAACTTTAACAATTTTAAAACTTTCCAATCTTGTTTAGATTTTTGTAAAGACTTTTTACCGAGAACCGACAGTCGTAAGTTGAACAAACGCTTCCATAATCCGCACAGCAACCATCAATTCACATCAGGATCATTTCACGACTGGCTTTTACGCACTTTAGTTCTAGGTCTTCTTTCCATTAATATGTCAGCATATACCACCCAAAATATTTAGGAAATTTTTCCATTTTTAAGTATAACGCTGCCATCTATTGGGCAAAACGTGCTATATATCTCAGGGAAATTTTAAATTTAATTTTTAACTACACGCCGCAAAAAAAAACTATGGCACTTATCAACCTTTTACCAATTAAAGCTGTGTAGGATTCAGTAAGCCAATCTAAAATTTCTAATCCGACCTCTTTAAGGTATCTGAAATATATGTCTCTAAAATGTGTCTCATATACCTGTCCTCAAGCATTGCTCCTCCATTATTCAACACAGCTCATTCTGTGCGGCCGTTTAATGAAATGCGTCCTACACCATAATAAAACCTGGACGAAAATTGAAGTTAAGTCGCATATCACATTCTAAATATCGTTCACCATCTCGTCTGTAAAATGGTATACGTCATTTAGAATGAAATGAGTAAATCCAGACTCGTCAACAAAACAGAACATGAGCCCGGTTGGTTATGGCCCAATTTACGTGTCGTTTGACAAACCTCAAATGTGTTCTGGTAAGATGAGTCACTGTTACCGCCACCCTGGCTGCTATTCCATTCTCCGCTAGCCTATCACGTACAGTTTGGCACGTACGGGTGTATTTCGCGCCATTTTTAAGTCATTTTTAAAGCTACTCAACAAATACAAAAAATGGTACATATAATCTTAAATCTATTTAATATTATTATGCATCTATGCGTTTATATACTTCCATATAAATATATATAGTTTAAAAACATTTGCATGTCTAATTTTTTCAATTTCTTTACTAATATGTTTCACAATTTAAGTTAAATGCAATTATCATTTACCACCTTCCGTGATAGGACAATTTTAAAGTACATATTTTCTATAACATTCTTCATAATTATGTAATAATATCATAATTTTATATAATTACATAAATAAGAATAGAAAATTTTACATAATTCAAAACGACGAAACTTGGTAAACCCGCCTCCAGTGCCACTTTGCGGTTGGTCTTCAAACAAATCCAGTCTGATTATCTGGTTGAGTTAATAGGACATTTAAGTTTCTCATATATTTTGGGTGATATATGAATGTTATTCGAAAAGCATATTAAAGCCTAGATCAATTTTTTAATTGCCGTAAAATTCAAGTTGAAACGTAACTGACATATTCAAATTTAAAATTTAATTTTAATTTAATTAAATTTATTTTTTTAAATGTACATGTAAATTGCGGGTTTAAATTGCAAAAGATAAATATTCATTCAATAGAAACAATATTAAACAATTACAACAGCAAAAAGCAGTTCTGCTTAACCTTTTATTCTAACATCTTTTTATGTTGTCAAACTGAAAGGTACTCTACTCTCAGTAATATTCATATTATTCAAAAACTTCGTGTACTACTGAAAAAACTGATATTCGATGACTGTATTTTAGATTTTGGAGCGTGCAGAACTTTTTATGCAGTTTTTTTATAAATTTATTAAAAAAAGTTTCCCATATGGTTCCAACTTATTGAGAGATATTGAATAAGCAACCTTCGGTTTACTTTATTAGAGTTCTCCAAACGATATACCCTTTTTACGACATAATCCGGTATTTAATTTTGGTAAAATTAACCGCAGGCCTACCTCGCTTGGATTTCTCTTTGTAACCCTCAATAAATAGATTCGCAATTCTACAATGACGTTCCAGATCCATACTTCGGTACTTCGTGCATAGAAAAACTTGTCTCTGATTGATGGTTTTGTAATAAAAACTAATTCTTAGTACGAACGCACGCTAAGTCTCTTGGCAAAAGTCAATATTTAAAACAATACGCAACTCTTCATCTAAAGTTTTAGTTATTAAAACAATATTCTTATGATACGCACCATACCGTGTCACTATTTCGCCGGCATGGTGCATGTCAAGTAGATTTTTTGGGAGCCCACGATCTTTCCGCGTTTTTCCTTCTTTTATGGCTCAACTTTCCCGAAACGGCGATTTCAGAAACAGAAACACATTTAAAATGATAATTTTGGCAACAACCGGCAAATGTGTCCGAGTCTTTGATCCATTTGAATTTGACGGGTGTTCAGGCTCAACGGTTATTACGTTATCGATCACAATCTCTTCTTCGTCGCTGGACATCACAAGTGACTAACAAAAGTGAATAATGTTAGTTTTTCGAAGAAACTTCCACAAGCTACTGTAATGCTTTTTACAAAACCTCTGGATTCCTCCTGGATTCCTTATCTACATAAGATTTTGTATTGCTTTCCTAGGAAGATATTTTAGAGTCATTATGTTAAACTCATAAATTGGAAATCAGTTTAATCTTTCTAATGTCTTTTTAATGTAGGAGATCAACCTATTCAATGGGCAAATTCAACTTGAATTCGAGCTACTTCACGTAGGCACTGTGTTAGGAAGATTTATAAAAAACACACTAATATGAATTAATATAAGAGTTTAATCAAAGAAAATTTAACTACTCTTAAAATACAACATGCAGCCCACATGGCAGTTCCTGTCGGCTAACATCTTAAATACGGCCCGGACTTGTACACGTGCTGAAAAGAATGGTCCCTTGCTATTTACAACAGGCGGGTCTTAAACTCATTTCGAAGTCAAAACCATAAAAGGTCGTAAAAACGGTATATCGTTGGATAACTCTACTATTATTATTATTATTATTATTATTATTATTTTCCGGTGGCAACTGTTTCGATAATTTATTGCTCTCTGCCTTTAAAAGACAGACTATAGATGCTAGATCGCTTTCAATAGAAAATAACCAATATGGTATTAAACTTACATAACGCAAAACCTTGACGCGCTCACAAAACCGAAAAGAACCATATGTTATTAGCGGCTCCGGTCGACGAAGGCCTCGCGCCCCACGAGTGTCAAGCCAAGTTCGACGAGTGCACAACGCTGAGATGTCCTTACGGGGTCGAAGCGTACGTCGATGAAAACGATTGCAACGGCTGCAGGTGCAAGGATCCTTGCAAGGACGTGGAATGCGGTGAAGGAACGCAATGCGCGATAGACCTCAACAGGAACAAAATATCCAACCTTGATGCTGACTTTATCGCGATTTGCAGAGACAGTAAGTTCTAGCAATCGGTAAAATTCGTAGCTCAGTTCTGTTTGTGATTCTGTTTCGAATTAGCAATAACGGCAATGGCTGAGTTAACCATTTTTGACTTGATAACAATGATTATTTAGAAACGTTATTCTGGTTTTCTAGTTTTAACATTACGAGTTGTATGACTCAACTTTATTTTGTTTTCACTGTTATTTTCCATGTCTTGTATTCTTTCTTATTTTAAATTTGAATTTTTGACTTGCGCGCCATCTACCTCCAGATTTATGAAACGTCTAGTGAATCATGTTGAAAGTACATCGTGTGCCAAATAACTGGAACACCCTATACATTTCGACATTTTTTGAATCCTTGGTTAAAATAAAGGTTGTGTTAAAATAAATGTGTATTCGAATTTTGCATAGCTTAGGCATAAATTGAGGTTACGTGTTTGTTTTTATGTTTTGATTGCCACATATAAAATTGTGTTGTGACGCTAGTGATCCAGGTATTGCAATGAAAATTTAACCACATACTAAGGAGCACTACTTAATCAGTTTGACAGATGCGGCTTAGCTTATAAAGGGTGTCTCAAACAGGTGGTGCCGTTTTGGCGAATGTAATTAAGAAAATCTCAAGATTTTCAAATGGTATACCCTATATTTTTATTCAGATATCAATTTTAGATCAAAAAAGGCAAGTTTGTAATTTATCTTATGTTTAAATTTTACTTAATTTAGATTTAGATATTCAAGGTTTAAGATAATACTCTTTAAGATAATTCTCTCTATTTTTTAAATAGCAAAGACATGATACTACTTCTTAAAGATATAATACTCCAGATACAGATACGGTACAATACAGATTTAATTAAACTTAAAGAAACATTTAATAGTTAATTATCTAGCTTGATTGAAAATACCTATTCACAAAAATAAATAATTAAAGTTTATAATCCAGTTAACCAACGTAACAAATTTGAATAAATAAATCTATAAAAAAAGTTAACTAAAAAGGGTTCGTTAAGTCGGTCCATAAAGTTTACTTAAAAATGTTCCTCTTAAAATGCCTGTTTCATCTGGAATCAAAACAACAAAGAAATATAAAAATATTTAAAAATGTAGTTGGCTAAGGCATCACAATCTTTTTTTTGACGCATTAAGGTATAGACAAACATTGACATTTCTGTTTGTTTTTGTTGTTTTTCATATTTATATTTAAAAAGTTCGTAGTTGTAAAGTTTTTTGTTAGTATATGTTTTATTTGTAGTTTTAATAGGTTATAGTTTTTTGGTTAATATAATAAACTTTAATTATTTATTTTTGTTATTAGGTATTTTCAATCAAACGCCTAGAAAATTAAATGTTTCAATCTGTTAAAGTGTGTAGTATAGAGTCGATTTTTTTCAAAATTTCCACGTATAAATGGACCCCCTGTATTGTCTGCCATAGATTTTATTCGTGTTTCTGGAGTTTTATATCTTTAAAAGAAGTAGTATGATTGCCAACAAGTGACCAAATGTGGACAGCTTTAAATTCAACAAGAATTTATACGGGCGTTACCTTAAACCTCGAATATCTGAAAAAGTAAGTAAAATTGAAATATAAGATAAATAATATTTTTTGTCCTAAAATTGATATCTGAATAAAAATATAGAGTGTTCCATTTGAAAATCTTGGGATTTTGTTAATTGAATTCACCAAAACGGCACCACCTATTTGGGTCACCCTGTGCAAGTTAAGGGGCATCTAAAACTTAAAACTCTAGTTCTAAAAATCTTAGAAATTTTAAGTAAAAAAAGAACAGTTGGAATCAATGGCGTGTACTAGATCACAGCAGGTGAACACTTAAATATCCCTATTCAGTCAACCTGCAGTGGGCAGAATTATTACAGAAGTAAGCTATCATTTCTTTTATCCAACCATTTTAATATAGCAGGTCTTAGAATAACAATGAAATTATCCGAAACTAACCACATTTATTCTTTAAGAAAACGGAATACCATTTTATGTATCCATATTACTTATTGTTAAGGTTTTAACATTATTGCAAAACACGGACAGAACAGTGTAGAAACAGAATTGGTTTTGTGTTAGGTAATAAACTCGGTCAGTGCCCGGCACTCGTTCAAAGAGGCAGTACGTGCGAGGAAGAGTGCAGGAACGACGCTGACTGCGCCCTAGATCTAAAATGCTGCTCGACCGGATGCGGCACGTCTTGCGTGGAACCCGTAAAACCACCTGGGGAGCTCGTCACTCAGCAAACTTATTTGCCCGCGTTTACCGACAGGCCATTGGAAGATATTTGTGAGTATAAAAAAACTCGATTTATTATTATTAACCACAATTGTATACTTTGTCTCAAAGTATATCGTCTTAGTTTTTGACCGTAATTATCGAAATTGCGCGCAGCGCGGCAATGAACAGACTAATATAGGAACAGAGAACGCCTACGCAGTACATTCTGCAGACCACCAGAAGAAGAAGAATCGAAACGCCATAAAATATCTGACCAGTCCGTATTGTAGGACAGAACATCTGCTACGTCTTTTCAAGTGATTTAAAAATATAGACATTAAATATTATTTTACGTTAATTTACGTATAAGTAATAATAGAAAAGAATTACCTAAATAAGTAAGTTTGTTTTTCAAGATCTAATTCTGTTTCACTCTCATTAGGTCTACGTTATTTGTATGCAAATGTAACAGTGCAATCTTCAATTTTTAAAATGTGCTGTACTGCATTTTTCAATCTCAGCAGGTATATTTTTTGCATTATAGTTTTTACTGGAATGAAACTATTCTTGTATTGAGGGTATCAAACCAAGATTCATCTAGGTGAATTATAAATCTGTTTTCAGATCTACATTTTCTAATTTCCATAAGATAATTAAATCTATATAGTATATAGCAAACCTTTTTGAAGACGACTGGTCCACCGATCACTAAAGGGGAGATTGAGAAGGCTATATGTAATTCAAAAATATCAAAGCGACTGGCCCGGATTAAAATTCTTCAGAAGTACTCAAACTCCTCGATGAAAGAGGCATCACTGCACTGCATAAGGTGTATAACATCATATATGAGACAGGGTAATGTAGCTGAGGTCCACTTTTATCCACTTGCCTAAGAAGACAAATGCAAGAAGATGCGAAGACACAGACTAGGCGCTAGGCACAAGAGAGGCAATTGTTGCAACACAAGTGCTTGCGCTTACAGCACTAATGCAGATCCTAAAAACCTATACTGAACCCAAATAGCGCAAATAAAACTAGACAATAATATGTCCGACAACATATAGATCAAAAGGTGGGTGCTGTCTCCACTTTTATTCAACTTATATTCCGAAGCAATCTTCCCAGAGGCCCTGGAGGATATGGAAATGGGAATCAAAGTTGATGGGTCGTGGATTAACAATATCCGTTATGCGGACGCTGATGATATGCACGACCTACAACAACTGGTCAATAAGATAGGACAGCAGAGCAAATCACTGGGCCTAAACATCAGTACCAGAAAAACAAAATTATGATTATTTCAAATAACTGGGAGTCTGGCTCTTTGAAGACTGGGCATCAGACAAAGAAATAAAATGTGGATTGAACAAGTCCGACAGGCATTCTTGTTTCGAAGAATGCTTTCTTGTCCCGATTTGGATCTTAACCTACGATTGAGGTTCGTGAAGTGCTACGTTTGGTCGGTGCTTCTTTATTGCATGGAAGGCAGGACATTGAGGACGACTGCAATTAACAAGTTGGAGGCTTTCGAAATATGGCTGCATCGCAAGGTGTCGTGAACGGCTAGATTGACAAACGAAGAAATTCTAAGACGCGTCGCCAAACAACGTGTACTATTTCAATTAATTAAAAAGAGAAAAACGGCTTACCTAGGACGCATCATGGGAAACAACAAATACCAATTTTTACACCTACTGATCGAAGTTAAAATTGAAGGAAAGAGAGGAATCGGAAGGAAGAAAATTTCTTGGCTACGCAACATAAGTCAGTAGACAGGATTACAAGATATACAAAATGTTATCGCAAAAATCCATTAGTGCATATGCATCGAAAGAAGAAGAAGAATTAAATCTTTAATCTGTACCATTGCATTACTACTTGCTTTTTGCCTATTTTGCGGTATTTATATCCCCTTTTACAAATACCACTATGGAGGGTAGCACGGCTCATAATTATATTGGTTTCATCTTCTTGTAGCTTCATTTTTACTTTGTCCAACGTAGCAACAACCTCCTTTTGATATATTTTCATTCTTATCATATCTCATTCTATAATTCACAGTAAACAACATTCTATATCGAGGATATCGAGTTTTTTTAAATGTGCATGTTTTTTTCAAAGCTTCTTGTTTAATGATTCCTCTAATTACTCTATTTACACTATTACACAATTTTTTCTGCATCTAATGATAAGTGATTTCGACGCGGCATAACGTATTATTTAACACTGACACGTGTCGACCTCTGGATTTACCCAAATACAATACGTATGAAGGACATAATTACTTTTTGACGGAGGATGCATCAAAAACCAAGACGACATACTTTGAGACACACTATACATCATATTTGATGCGTGATTAACCCATTTATTATTATTTATTTATTTTTTTAGTTAAAACGTCTAATAAATGTAATTTAAATGTAAGCGTTGACTCAAATCTTTTAAATTATAATTTATTTCTTTTTAGATCGGCCTCCCGAAATTGACATTCAAATATATAAACCTGAGGTGTCGGCTTCTCTTGGCGATCAGGCCATACTTAATTGCGCAGTTAGTGGTAATCCAAACCCCAAAATTTCATGGAGCAAAGACAACATCTTGGTAGGTTGACTAAACGTTAAGTTGCCACGGTACTTACATACTGTTTAGTAGTTTAGTATTATTTTTGTATCATATAGGCTGGAGAACACAAAATTGTAAAAATTATATAAAGTTATAGCAACTTACTTAATTGAATTTAATTTTTAAAGAGTCTCTGTATCACAGTATTACATTTGTAATATATAGTATTTGTAATATAAAGTATGACGAGAACGATTCAGTTTTGGAAAGGATAAAATATAAAGTTATTCAATAAATTTTTCGCTCCAAATAAAACTAAGTTAAGAAAAATTTCAGAGTTTTTAAGTTTCTATAATATTTATTAGGATATTTTTTACAATAATGTCAAAGTAACACTTGATTTCTGTCAACAAGAGTAAAAGCAAAATGCAATGACAAGAACACGAAATAAACTATATTTTAAACAAATTTTAGAAAAAAAAAGTGAAGAAGTTTTTTTTTGTTTGCTGTTTATACATCCTGCAGGTAGGTTTTATACCGGTAACGAAGCCGTTATAAAACTTATTTGAGTTATAACGGTAAACTAATAAAGCGGTTACAAATAAATGAGGAGTTAAAAGTTTATTTGATTATAAGATCCATCTATGTGCTACGGGGTTTTATAAGAGCCAAGAAAACGAATAATCGACAAGTTCTCAGCTTTTATAAAATAGGTAAAACAAAAAAATGTTGGTTAGCAGTGTTTAATTTTTATTACTCCTTTTATTATTATTAGATTGAATGGTTATATATTTCATTATTTTAGATTGACAACACTCACCCTAGATATCGAATTAAACTAGACCAAACGCTTCAAATCATTACGTTGCATAAAACCGATTCCGGAATTTATGTATGCACGGCAGACAACTCAATAGGTCAACCTATTAAGAACCAGATTAAATTGGAAGTTGTAGGTAAGCAAATATCCGTATCAGTAACTGGTATAATAATGTTTCCTCTTTGCATGTCTTGGGAATTTTTCTTTATAGTAAATTTGTTGTAGTGTTACCTCAGTAGTTTCTAAAAACGTTTGATAACATTTGTATACGATGGTTTCGAAGTTATGTCATTTATTAAACAATTAGATAACCAATAAACTAACAGATTCATCTAAGAATTTAAGATAAACACTCTATAAATATTCTCCCCTGCATCGATATTTCGCGTAGCAAATCCTAATTCTACGTTCGTAGGAGTGAGCCAAAAATTCCCTTAGAAAATTTCTCTGTGATCATAAAACAAACATTTTTTCTTTCATTATCTAATATCGATCTCCGTTTTATTAATTTAGTATTTTTAGGCGGCTGTGAATTTAATAGACTATTACGTTTAACGAAAGAAGGTTGTTCTAAGTTTGATTAGTTTTTATTTCCCTTTGAAATCTTGCACTCGTAGCAAGAGCATATACCCGGTGTCTCAGTAAGGGTAACAAAATATCTACCATCTGCTATCTTGATTTTGAAAACCCGGTTTCCACAAAATTTTCTTATATTAATCATAATACCATTTTAAGGTTGACACATATTTTTTAATGCTATTTGCTCTATCAGGGCAGCGAAAACCGAATCTCAATGTCTTCATCCTATCCTAAAAAACGAATAAAAGGTTTTGACGCTCAAAAACTAATTGGATTATTGGAAAAATGTCCGGTTACGAAATTTTTTGCGGTTATGACAGAAAACGCCACCTGGTGGCAAACTAAGCAAGGATAGGCCAGGAAAAGCCCCTTTTAACGGCTGCAAGTTTATTAAAATGCTTTACGCCTTTTTGGAGTTACCGACATTTATTTCGGAAAAATGTTCGAACACTCCTCACCACTTTCCTTGCTTAGAGTGAACAGCATTAAACAAAAAATATTTGTATTTGTGTCAGCTCTAAAATAGTACTCACCGTAACTACAATATAAGAAAATTTCGTAGAAGCCTGATTTTAAAAATTAAAATAGCAATTACGCCCCCTGGTGGCCATTTTACAGACTTTCAAATTATTTTTAGATTTTTCTTTTGGTCAGTTGTCTCTAATACTGTATTTTATTGCCTTTATTAGGACACCCTATGTAATGAACGACCAAACAAACAATATTCAATTACTTCGCCATGCACGAGCAAAAGGAAATCTTGTTTTTAAATGAATAAATACAACGATAACACTAATGTAAAAATAATAAATGTTCAACCAACAACATTAACTGCCTTTAAGGCTTTTTAAAAAGTAGCGGAACATTTTTGTTGTGTTTTGTTGTTATATTACTTTTATAACAGTCCTAGTTGGCGCAGTGTCTTCTTATAACATTTAGTAGTAGAAGAATAAAAACTATTTTCAATATGAGTTAATGAAATAAGCTTTCCAAGTAATAATTTTTTAAATTTATATTTAACTACATTTTTCTAAACTGACCACTGAACACTCAAAAACAATCGTAAGAAATACAGGGCGGGCGAAATATCTTTGGTACTTTTGGAAACATGACTGAAAAACTGATTTTTAGATGAAACATTGTCAAAGTGAGTAAGTCTCCAAATTGTCCTTTACAAGGAAATCCACCTCAAAAATTAACCAAACTGTTTTTTGTAACTCCCGATTATTTGTACATTTTTAGCCCTTTGCGTAATACCAGGGGTAAAATGGGCCGCTTAAAAATTCTAAAAAGCTGTTCCATGTTATTATAACCGAATCATAATAAATTTATTGAAAGTGTTTTTTTGGATAATTCTATGGATTTTGCCTAAAGCCAGAGCTTTCGAAAATCTTATAAATATCAATAACAAATTTTTTAATCTATAGAAAAATAAGTTAGTCAAAAATAAATCGAATTGATGGTTAAAAGCCACAAAAAATAATAAAAAGCTTAAGTGAGCCTCCTTGCCCCACCCTCCCCTACACTGAAAGTAAATTTATGTAGCTGTGGTAAGTAAATGGGTGGGCAATAGGTCATCAAGATATATTCTTACGCAGATATCGGTGCTCGAAGTTGAATTTTTCAGAATTTTAAAAACTAAAGTAAATAAATTAATTAAATAAATGGACTTTTTTAACAAAATTGTTATGGGACAATTTTGCTTATGATCTTATAAATATGAAAATCATTTTTTATAAAGGGTCACTGAAAATATTTATATAGAGATTTATTTTATTGAAATTCAACAGTATTCAAAATTATCACACCTGGCGCGACAAACGGCGAGGTATTAACAAAACTCTGACTCTTTTTATGTATGGATAAATAAAAAAAAAGACGCAATATATTGTTTGGATGTGCAATGGTATTAATGGTCTCAAAACTAAAGTATGCATAGTTTCACACCGTACCAGTTTTCTATACGGTGCGTTTTAAATTTCGGGGAAATTATAGAAACTGGACAGCAAAATAGTCATTTGGGCCAGACACATACCTTTGTCTAAAAGTTGAAAGTAAAAAGTTTTTATTTAACTTAAAACTTTCCAAGGATTTCCAGTCAAGTGAAGATAAAGCATCAGATATCAAATTGGTCAGATATGTAAACTGCGCTATTTGCAGAATTATTTTTTGTAATTAACATGCCATCCAGTATGTCAATAATTAAAGCTTTATTCTACTACGGTTTTTGAAATATTTTAGTTTTATCAAAATTTCCAAAAAAGTCTTTTGTAGTGTATGCGAATTAAATAAACTGTTATAATAAACAAGGCCACATTTTATATTACTATAAAAAATAGTTTGTTTTTAAGAAACAGAACATGTGTCTAAAATTAGGTCCGATGCATACTTGAATACTGAATTTAGGGTTGTTGAATTGACCGGTCAATTTTTTTGTGTAAATTGACCGAAATCATTTTTAAAATTCCGTGAAATTTATATTTATCTATTTATATTAATTTACATATAAATGGCGATATTCGGGTTCGTATTCCTTATTACCATTAAAAAACCATTACCATTAAATAACACTCTACAATTGCAAGATGTTATTTAAAACATTTTTTGACTAGCCAATTAAGAAGTGGTCAGTTGACCAGGGTTAATTGACCAGTCCCAACACTAACTGAAATACATACATACTGAAATTCATTGAAATTCATTTTCATTCTTTCAATTGTGAGCTCGAGGATCGAATTGGGCCTATGAAAACAATTGCTCACTTCATTTTGCATAAGAAAAGTAAGGGGTCTTTTACTAATATAGGCTACAACACAACGATCATAAATTTACAGTGTATTTCAATTATCAAAGTTTTTGGGAATTGGCAACGAAATTTTTATGATTTTTCTTAACTGGCAGTACTTCGACACCATTCAGTACAGCTATCAATGTAGTAGTATTTACTAACTTTTCATTTAACCGTAACAGATTCGGGTCCACGTCCAGCGACAATTTTAAACGCTGACGACAGGGAACTCGTTAGCAACGAACTAATCAGCCTGGGCACACCCGCTTATATAAATTGCTATGCCTTGGGGTATCCTTTCCCTGCTGTCACTTGGTGGAAAGAGGACAGCCTAATTCCGCTAAAAAATAAAGAGTTCGAGGTGACTCGAGACAACGTACTGCTTATTCATTCTGTACAACTGCACAATCTGGGCGTGTACACTTGTCAGGCTTACAATGGCGAAGGCAAAGCAGCCAGCTGGTCCATTACGATCAAAGCTAAGGGTCCTTACGTTAGCACTGACCCCGAACACGTTAGATATTTGCAGTACGTGGTTAATCCTCCGGAATTCCAAACCACCACTCTTATCTCTAAAAGTAGCTCGTCGCAACCTCCCCCATACAAGTCGGTATACAGGCCCACCCCGCAGCCCTACGTCCCTCCCGCCTATCCAACCGAACCTTCTCCCGATATTATCGAACCCAACGAAATATTGCCAGAATTTCCCGCTGCCGCCGGAAACGTTCAACCACCAAGTTACATCGGTAATGAGACATTTTTTCTTTCCACTTTTGTTTACGTTTTTACCTTTACTCTATTTTTTTTTTACGTTAGACTTTTACTATAGCATGCACCGGGATCTTAGATCGGTTATGGGAAAACTATAATAAAAATTTGAAATTTTGGTATTACACTGAAGTAAATGCGAGCTTATGCAACACGTTCTACGTCACAAGACAGCGCAACTGCATTCTAAAATGATTCTAGAAATTCATACCGAATATTTTTAATTTTTTCTTTAATCAAATTTTTAGGGCTTCTAAAAAATGTATAGGAAAAGAATAGGCTGCATAATGTTTCCTAGGAGAATCATGACTGAATTTTGCTCGTAAATTTTAATAAATATGTTCTTTCAAGAACGAGATGGTATGTTTTTTTAAGCAGTTTTTTTTGAAACTGTATTTAAAGTAGTTGATACTTTCCAGTGTTGAATATTTGGTTTGAATTTAAAAATCTAGTCAGTTGAGTAATTATTTGTCAAGCGGATTTATATCAGTTACTTTAAATATACAATTTTAGCTGGTGTGACGGAATATCTAATTTTGGTATCCTATAAAAAACAAGGAAAAAAATAACACAAAAATTTTCATCGCACACACTAACTCTGAAACTAGTAATGACGGTTAAACTATTCACGAAACCAAACTATCCGGCAGTCTATCGTTTCTGTGCCTAATTGTGGAGGTGGTTTTAGGTTACCCCTTCAAACAAGTTCGATAAGTCCTTGGAAAATCCAAGATATTCCGATCATGGTATGGAGTATAATTTTTTCCATTAGGTAGCACTTACATTCATCACATGGTTGAAACGGTGTTGTCGATTCCAGTAGATAACTTTAATTTGTCAATAAAATAGGGGTAAAAAAGAGTTTGGAGCTCTGATTAACCACTTTTATTTGGAAAAGTCGAGTCCGAACGAAATTGGGTGTTACAAAAATATCGCCAAGTTGGATGCCGCGTTTGCCTACAATGGAGAATAAACGCATTCGTGTGGACCACTAAGAGATTGTCTTGTAGGAGAGGATTATATATCATTATTGGAACGGCTGAGCAAAAAAATCAAGGAAAAACGTCTGAAAAAGGAAAAGATTCAGAGCTTCAATTTTTTTTTTTAATGTCAAAAAAAATTTTTTTTCTGTTTTCTAAGGACTTATTGAACGACCTTCGCATTTTGCTATCGACCTATTGAGAGAATTATGAAAGAAATAAGAATTATATTTAAACATGTCGACGATTTTTTTAAAAATTGGGACACCCTTTATAAAAAATTTAAAAAAAAAGCTAGATTTCCAGTTACCTATGCTTTTGATTTTCGCCTATGTGTCCCGCCATCGCGAAAATGTTTTATATTATAATCATATCATAATAATCAATAATTTTTCGTATGTGTAGTTTTCCCATATTCGATTGAAGTACAGTGGGTCTCATTTTTTATGTTTTTTCTGCGTAATTTTCAATTAAATGAAAGGTAGAATAAACGGAAATGTCATACCTGCCTTGGATTTTTATATAGAGGGTGATTTTGGAGCATTTTTGGATATCCCGGTCACACGTTAACTTATCGAAATGCTGAAAATTAGCCTGGATAAGGTTTTTTTAAGTAGGATCAGGTGGCGTAGTTAGTTTTCTTCTGAAGCTCACACATTTTGATAAACAACATCAGCTTCTGGTTTTAATAATTTTATTAAGCTTATTAACAGTTTTTCAAAAATATGTAACACATAAGGGGTATTTCAAATACAAAGCAATATATCTTTAATTTTGATTTTTGAAAAAAATAGCTGTCCGTTTTCCTAATATAATTTAGTTGTCATGACATTTCGTAAATATAATTTTAATTTCTGCCTCTTCTTTTTGTTGTTATGTTAACGTAAAACATGGCAAATATGAGAAATTGAATATAATAGGGGTTTATTATCAGTGCGCATTTAATATTGCGCACAAACAAGTCTATTTTGACAGGTAACTTATTAATAAATTATGTAATTTATAAGTAGTTATAAAAATCGCTAATAGTTTCACAAGAAAACCGGCCACGCCACTGGATCCTATGAAAAAACCACTAGTTTATAGCTTTTCGATAAGTCTGCGCGTAATTTTCAAAATTACTCTGTATCTAAAATCCAAGATAGCTGTAACGTTCTGGTTTGCTCCACCACGTTCGTGAAAAAGATCTTCGATCACGAAAGCAGCAACACCTTAGATTTTGTTAATAAGCCGTAAAACATGGGACACACCCCATCCCATTGACACACCAGCTCTGCCGTCGTTTTAGTTAAATGCAAAAAGTCAATAGAATATTTAAAGTGAGCATGTCTAGATAAAACTAAAATTACTTAACAAGAAAACGCTAATGGTACTAATTGTTTGTTATACGAAACTTTTAGTGCCCGTTCGTGTAAACATAACGACAAGGGATCAAAGGTATCCTACGGGTGGAGAGATTCAGTTACCTTGTGAAGTGCACGGTTACCCCGTACCGCAGGTACAATGGTACAAAGACGGCGTGCCTCTATTTGACAGCGCTAGGGTTTCTATATCCGGTAAACCTTGATCGTGTTGATGCATTTCAAGTCCTTTAGTTACAAGGATGTAAAATATTTTAGGAGACTATAGCTTAACGATCAGAAATGCCGAAAAGTCCGACTCTGGGAGTTACCAATGCGAAGCCACAAATTCTTTTTCGAAATCTTCAAGTACATTGGATATATTAGTTGAAGGTATGTATCTCATCAAAAACCCAAGAAAATTCTTATGAAGAACAGATTTCTTCTTAAGCCCCGTAGACACGATGCCATTTTTACATGTATTTTTACCAGATAATTTTTTTTTAGTGTTTTTAATTATATGACTAAACTTGTACTGCACGCACTACAAGAGTGTTGTTAAGTGCAGTTGTCAAAATATTCCGGCTTCCTGCCTTCCTATTTAATATTTAAATTTTCTAATAAACTATTTTATGGATTTTCTGGGTTAGTTTGCACACTTTTTCTAAAGAATTAGCCAAAAGCCACATTACAGTCTATTTCCTCATTTCAAGATTCTACAGTTCTGGAACATTTTTGTTACTTAGATTTTTCGTCCCGATATTTAGTATTTCATAGGTTTTAAAAAGTGGCATATTAGAAGTAAACTTTAATCATCTTTCGCGATTTTGACATTATTTAATTTTTCGTCAAGGTAAACCTAGAAGGTTATACAACTATGAAGATTCAATCAAACCCAAAGTAAAGGTCTCAACAGTAATTATTTATAAAATTTTCACCCACACGGGCATGAGGTCAACTCAAACGCACGCAGATACAAATTTCAATAAAGTAAAAGTAAGGGTAAAGGTAAATTGGAAACACAATTTGTGTCTGCGTGAATTGGAGTTAAGTTCTATGTCTCATGATGCCAGTGTGGGGGAAGCAAGTGAAACATTTTATAAATAATTATTTTTGGGACCTTGACTTTAGGTTTGGCTGCATCCATCTTTGCGCCGATTTTTGCAAATTCGTTTAACAGTTGTTGCTAATTTTATGTACCAAATTTCTTGCAATTTGGTAGTAGATACTTTGTTGGGTATTGTGAATATTTCCTAGGTACGCCATCAAGCAATAATAATTAGTAAAGAATTACCGACACGTTTAACGAACTTCACACAACAGATGATAAATAGCTACAATATACATGTAGAAATTGCATCAAAGCTACCGCGCTTTAGTTTATTTATTATGAGAGCGGGCACTACGTCCAGTGTATTATGGAGGAATAAACAAAGGGCTTTACCTTTTTTTGTTTTTAGGAATGTTTATTCATCCGAACTGTACAGATAACCAGTTCTTCGCCAACTGTGCCTTAATAGTAAAAGCCAAGTATTGTACCCACAAGTACTATGCTAAATTTTGTTGTCGGTCTTGTACAGAGGCTGGACTTTTAGCCGTCGACGGACCGCATTTGCAGGAAAGTTCTAATAAACAGAATTCTTTAGATACCAATTCCCTTTAGAAATAAATCTATTTGTAATCATTTAAAACAATCCGCGTGGCCATTTTGTACATTTTAATATTCTTTAATTCTTCGATAGTAAATAGAACAATAGAAATTTAACAAAATATTTTGAAAAAGTTCCTCGATTTCAGCTTTTAATTTTCTCGAAACTGACGTTCACAATTGCAAAGCAAAGATCCTTAATGATTATGAAAAATTACAAACATTACATCCTCTATGAACAAGAGTCGTTTGTCGATCTCAATCAAATAAAAATTAATGAAATGCTGATATTTAAATACTATGCAGCTAAAGACGATAGTTTTGTAAAAGCGGTTTCGGTCAAAATTTGAAAATTGCAGATAAGTGGCCAGTTAAGTTTATTTCAAATTACGAATTTACCGTGATTTGGAGTGTAGATAGATTTTTTTATTAGGAAGCGTCTCCAAAGACTGCTCTTATATGTACATATTACATTATGTCTTAGTGTTAATTTATGAATATATGTAAAAAATGTGTTCCAATACATTGTAAAATGGTACGATTAAAAGTATTTTTATTTGAGAGTATACTTGTTTTTTATTTTCTTTTGCTACTTTTTTCAGAATTAAATTAATTTAGTTTTGGCAGTTCAGTAGCTAAAATGTTGGGATAGTGTCCCTGGAGAAACGTGACGTGTTTGCTTGTTTACTTTCCCGTAATATATGTTCTTCGCCTTCCTTTCATTGATCGCAGAATGTTAACAATAACAGTGGGGCTGTATAACATTTTTACGAAACACTATAAACACAAATTAAACCTATCATCATCCGCAAACCTTTTGCCTCCACTGTTGGGCATAGGTCTCCTTCATCTCCTTCCACTGTATTCTGTTTTGTGCCTTCTGCTTCCAGTTTCCTGCTGTCTTTCTCAGGTGGTCTTCCCGCCATATTGGGGGTCTATCCCTGCTTCTCTTCTTTTCCCTGAGTCTCCATTCTACCAATCATTTGGTCCACCGATTTTCGCTCAAGCGCGCTATATGTCCAGCCCATTTTCCGTGAATAATTTTTTGTATGACATCTAGCCTGTTTGGTACCTTGTAATTCCCAGCATTGCTGGTTCCATTTTTTTTTTGGATTTACTCTCTGCGGACTTTTTAGTCAACGTAAGCGTTTGCGAGTATGTGACCACTGGTAATGCATTGGTTGTACACCTTTTTCTTTAAGCATATCGGTAAGGTCCCGATCAGAATATGTTGCAATTTACCGCCCATCCCAAACTGATAGTTGAATCTCGCAAGTTTGATTATCTCGACCTATTCTAATCTCATGTTCCAAATAAGTCAAACTGCAGCCGACAAGAAACGACCTGCAAAGTGGAATTCTATTTTCCAGAGATGGCAAACCTCGCTAAGGGACTTACTATTTTTATTTTATAAAGTACCTAAGGAGGTAGTCGAAAGTGAACGAGAACTATGTTACTATCATCCATTTTATTAAAACCCAAATTTATACAGCATCATTACATTCTAAAACATGAAGGTGAAACGAACGGAAGCGGAAAATTAAGTGATTCACTTAAAAATATTTACAGTAATAATGATAGTGTGGTCACTTGGTCTCGGACCAGCGCGCGTTAATCACTTATCGAAAAACAACTTCCTACAAAAGCAGGCTCCTCGTAGCGGTGAATATTTCAAACGAATCATCATGCGTGACAATTAAACGACAGAACTCTCTGCACATTCATTGCTGGCTAGACTTTATTATAACGTACTAATCAAATCAAAATTGGAAACGCAAACAATCGCCAAACGGTTATTAATGTGATAGTAGTAGTCATGTGTATTGAGCACGACTGTTATGACACTTAATTAACAACACAGTTACATCCTAGCTAACCTAAGTGTCGAAAGCCTAAATAATACTAAATTTGTCATTCACACCGACTGCGCGTGGGCGTGAACAAGTGTCGAGGGCGGGCGTGCGCCCTTCAACAGCCAACTAGGAGACACTCGCCCGCCCTCCACTTCCGGTACGTTCTGAAACAGACCGACAGCACTAAGGCAACCGTAGTTTTCAAATGGAATGTATGAAAACACTATTGCAGACTGGATATCTTCTGACAGTGTAATAATAAAACTTTTGTTACGTTTCGGAACTGCAACGTCTCTCTCAGGATCTACGCTATATCGTATTATAGTCAAAATTAACCTTATTTAAATAACTAACATGTGCGGCGATGATCTGCACTGTGTATAGATATAACCTATAATGTTAGAGCCCACCTCCGCACAATTTATATTTTTTGTTTAAAACTGCGTACAGGCAGCGGATATATTCTAGAATTAGCAACATGATTTGTACAACAATCGATAGAGAACGTCATTATTCAAATGGCAATGTTAAAAAAAGAGGAGTTTGGTTCTTCTCATAATTTAAAGTTTATATATAACACAGAAGGCTCTCCTAATGAAACAATTATGGCCGTGACCCACGGCATCGGCGCATGGAGCCCAATAAGTGGCAGTACTAGGGTCAAGGCATTTAGTAATAGGTCTCCTGTTCTAACCAGCCTCCAGGATTATGCCTTAAGTAGAATCGTCGTACCTCGTCGTATATGAAGATCGACAACATGAACGGAATGGCGGGCAACCACCACACGAACCTGAAAAAGCGCTTACGATGCAGTGGACGTAATTATATCTACGCTTTGTGAAAACCCTTGCGGTATGATCACCCTCGTCACACACTGGGTTGTTAACTTTACTAACTGATCGAAAACCACAAAAATATTATATTAGATAATACAGTAGCATTAGTCCCATAAAAATTGATTATTCCCACATGCCTCTAAAATTTCACTTACTAACCATCATATTGCCCCATTTTCTTTATAAAAAAAATCTCCAAGCACATAACTCGTTTTTACTTACAAACTGAGTCTCGAAAGAGCAACTTGCAGATATAGTTGGAATTATAATCATTTGTAATGATGTCATGCTGGTTGCCATAAACGTATATGGCTGATTGTTACAAATGACAGGTTGCTAATTGACATTTTTACTATACGGTGTTGGGCTAAAATATCATGTAACATGTACATAACTTTCGACAAGTTGACTAAAGGGGATATATATTTAACACAACACCCAACCATCCGAAATCCATTTTTTTCAAAAATTTGTTGTCACCGCCGTTTAGAATATATCATTAAACAAAGACAAACAAAAATGACGTCTTTACAAATGGGTATAAATTCTAGTTTAAGTATAGTAAAACGTTATACTATTTTCCAAAAACTAAGAGTTTTTCTAATTTATAATTTGGGGGGGGACTAAAATTCCTGTTGACAACATAAAGTGTGACTTTGACAGAGTGGTTGGTTACCTATTTTTGTGAATTCAGCTAAATTTTTATACACTTATTGTTTAGTTGGTTTAGCAAACTATTTTTTTAAATTTATCTTCCTCTCTTAATTTCAATATTTTATTACTACTTATTACTCAGTAAACATTCAGTTTTTCTATGGAGAAGAACTGGTTGCTACTTTTGTCCCTCTTTGGTCAATGTAGACAGAAACGAAAAGAAACAGAAATCCAAACTTTACTAAAACTGCCGCACTTAGCCAGCAAAGTTACACAAGTCATGTAATCGTAGCCATTCGAAATCCGCCGCATGTGCTTCAGACTCTGACTAAATTATAACTCCAAAGAAAATAAATTTCTTTGTTCAAATGAAACGATAAATTGTATATTGTGTTGGTAATGTTTAATTTATTAATATTTTTCTTTCACAGTTTATATTACTTTATAGTTATATATAGCAGCAGCCGTCTCTCAGAAACGATTACATAAAAACTTTTGTATTTTCTTAAAGGGGATATTGCTAAATCTATAATTTTTTTCTCTGGAGACCCGCGCTTTCTATTTTGAATGAAATTAATATGTTTTTGTTTAGTGTTTGACATGCAAACAATTTAAAAATAAAATAAAAATGTACCTTTCCCATTTCAAATAAGAAAGTTTGGACCTCTGGGAGAAAGACTATAAATATACTTGCCATTATTGTCCATATAATTATTGGACCGTGCATGCAAAGATGGCAGGCAATACTCTCTCAAATATTTGACAGTTGCGGAATTTTTTACTAACCCTTGAAAATATGAAGTTGCTACTAAAACGTTTTTTAAGAAATATACATTAAAAAAATTATTACAATCAGAAATTAATATCAAATTCGCCACTGTGCGTCATTGTATTTCAATGATAACAAAAAAAAACTTGGAGGCCAAAGTTTTTTTGGATTGACTTATGCTTTTTAAATTTTATATTGTTATATATACAAGGTATTTGGACGTGTATCTATCTATCTATCTTTCTCCGACTGAAAGCCTTTGTTATACATTTAGGGTTGATTTCCTTACAGAAATCGATCTACTTTAATGATTTGCGTTGATATTTTGATTAAAAAGTAACATTAAAAATTGAATTAAAAAAAAACCGTTAAAAGTCATTTTTATAATTTTATGGGATGAGAAAGATGAGTATTAGGTTGACTATTTGAAAAAGTTGTAGATTTAGAAAAAAAAGCCTTTTCATTGTAAATATGCAGCGACGACGAAATGTGGCGAAATCCACTAGATCTAGCAATATGTTATTTTAAAAGTGTACGTGCATACGAACAATTCTTGTCGATAAGTTTTTTTGACAATTTTTTATAGATTCTCAGATAAGGTATTATCCTATAATAAACGAGCTACCCAGTACAAGGATCTCTTTCAATACTTACAAAAATGTGCGTGGAGATTAACCCATGTGGAAAAAAATCAAATTGTAAACACAGATCATAGAAGAATTCAAAATTTGAAACGATTCGTGCGTTCAATATTTTCGTATCATAGAGGTCATACTAAAATTCAGCTCAAAAACTTATTATATAATCGCTTTAGTCAAATTCAATCTACTCTAGTATTATCAAACTTACTTCAAGGGGAACATGCGCAATCCCTTGTCCATACCGGGGGTGTACGACAAAAAGCACGCCAACGCGGTCTCGAATATCAATCCAAAGTTGAGCGCCCAGTTTCTCATTCCCTGATGAATGATGGAGTTCCGACGAGTCTTGCAGATGATCAGGTCAGCCCATTGCACGACCACAATCGAAACGAAAAACGCGGTGTGACAGGTGTATTCCAATGTTTTTCTATCCTTGTAAGTCTGAGAAGAAGCGGTTCATTATTTAGCACTCGTACGGAGGCGAATTTCGGAGAAACCCCGGCCAAAAATCAGAAATTCAATTGGAGGATTTCAGATAAACACCATTCGCATTTGCAATTATATATGGTTACCTAGATACCAAAACTAATTCTTTATGTTCTGAATGTTTTCAAAAATATGTCAGTTGAAAGTTGATATTTGTGTAAGTCATGATTTAATGCGAGTTATGTAAAATGTCTGTTTTTAAATAACTTTTTCTGACTTAATTTCTTCTAAAAAATCTTGAATGCTGCAGTGGAGCCTCTACCCAGTGGTAAGTAATTCTTAAATCTCTATACAATGGCAATGGCCCAAATGTACAGTAGTGTAGAAACAAGCAATTCTATTATATAGTCATATAGTTACAGAATTTTTCAAAAAAAGTTGGTTAGTTCTGAGAACGTTGTTACTTCTGCGCATTGCACTTTTGCATGAAATATTTTTTCAAAAAAAAAAAGGGTTTTTGTGCTTATTTTTCGTTCTACTCAACAATAATTAATATTTACAGAAAACAAAACCTCAGACATTTTCACATTTAATTTGGTGGTATTTATAAAATATCATCAATCAAGATTTGAGTTTGCTAAACTAAAGCCTGAATTGGTAGTAGATGACAATCGGCTAAGCGTTTTTTTTTTTTAATTCGGATATTGCAAGAGTAACATAGGTATTGATGAAGATCCGATCTGAACAAATTTGCTTTAGAGCTTTTCAAAAAACTTAAAACAGCTAGAAAATATGTTGAGTTATATGCGAACTAAAAACCACAAAAACAAGAAGGAATTTGGCGTTTTAAGTGGACGATTTCATGCGTCCTATTTTTAAATTTATCGTGATATGGGTAACAAATTGCCATCTTATATAATCTTTGCAGTACTTTTCGTTACAAATAAAGAAATGTCTTCACGACCTACTGCAAATTACACTATCGACCGAAATAAAAGATTGAAAATTTTTTGAAAAATATGTTTTTTAATATTTTTTTTTAATTCGAATTAATGGCGTTGGATTTTTGACCGAGATTTCGTCCATCTGGAGACGTAACATCAAAAATTAAAACATACCCATTCCTGACCATACGAATCGGACAGATCGTTGATCGCCTTTGAGTCCCACGTCTTGCGGATACCGAAGAGCTTCATGGGCAAGAATCCGTTTTCGGCCATGATCACGAAATAAACGAAAAAACCTGCCGCCGCTTGGATCATACCGATTTGACCATAAGCCATGGATATCAACCTTCACACGAAAACGAGACATATTTATATCAAGTCGGTCATTCTAATCAAGACACAAAAAACAATATTTAAGCAACGCATTCTATCACTTAGCTGAGTACTGTACGCTTGCTTAAACATTGTTGAGTACTTACGATCACAAACATAATCCACAAAAACATGCTGGTCCATCGAAATGATAAGTCATAATAAAGAATTTTACATGCAAAATTCGGTTAGTAAGAGGAATTCCAAAAATTATAATACGAGTTTTTTCGTAACATAACACATCTAGACGAACGAACAACTGATCTTAAACATTATTTTTGGAATCCCTATATCGGCATCATGTTTTGTAAAAATTCCAAACACCATATTGTAACTACAAGCATTGCTTTACAAAACATTTCACCAAAGGAAAGCGATACTTCTGCTTTGGGGAGGAACCAAAATGGGGAGAGTGGTGTGGGGTTTTCCCATAAGTTGTTTTCCTGTAATGTCCGGGGACCGAAGGTTGCAATAGTAGCTAAAAGCAAATCGTATTGAAGCACTTCGGAGGCATAGGTAAAAAACTGAAGCCGGATCCAACTGTAAGATAATATATTGGCTGTGGAGTGATTGTCGTTGACTTTTTATAACCAAAAAGATCGAAGTGATAAGAAGACAAATAAGCATACTAAGAAACTATTTTAAAAGAACCATGCAGTCAGCGGTAACCTCTACACATTATTTGCTAACTTCTTTGTCTTATTCTATAAGCTTAGATATTGTGAAAATGTTAAATTATAATTGTGATATATTGTAAATTTTGTAAAATTAGTTATTACTTACTTGGATAATGAATTTAAAACGAAAAGAAATGGGAAGTGTCAAGACGCACATAAAAACTTGTTAAAACTAAGGAAAAAGGAGCCCGTGCGTAACACTTTCATGTAGGAGTTAAGTTATGTTTATCCAAATTGATACAATATGCCTCAATAAGTTGGAACCATCGGGAAAAATTGTGATTATTAATTTTAGAAAAAAAAAATTCTCCAAATTCTTTTTTACTCACTAGTAAAAAGTACCTTTAAATTTAACAATATTGAAATGTTCGAATCCGTGGAAAACGAAACGAGTTGAAAAAATTTATTTCTAGGTGCAGCGTGGGCAATAAGCGAGATAAGCGGCTTTAATTCTGAATCCATGAATTGTACAGATTTTCAAAAAAAAAAAAGATATTGAATTGAACAAAACAAAAAAACGGGAAAAAAAATTTCAAGTTCACATATATGCCGCTAGGGGCGGGGCGTGAAAAAATCTATTGTACTAAATAACGTTTTATTACGAATCGATAAAAGAATATGACGTGTGAAATATCTCCGAAAATATCCGAATGAAGAGTTAGAAGTGACTCGAATTCGTAGAAAACGAAACTGACGTGGTAAAATGACACTTTCCGCATGCTAGATCGAATTGAACATTTTAGAGAATGGAGTAGAAAAATATTATTTCTAGGTGCAGGGTAGGCAATAAGCAAGATAAGCGGCTTTATTTATTCGTTCCTGAAACTACGAATTGTAGAGAGTTGCATAAAAAATTACTAAAATAAACAAAAGAAAAAACGGGAAATAATTTTCAAGTTCACATATATGCCGCCAGTGGGCGTTCTGACTATGATGGCGTGAAAAAAACCATTTTACTAAATAACGTTTTATTACGAGTCGATAAAAGAATAAGGCCTCTGTAATCTTTGTAAAATTTTTTTTGGTTGTATGTTGTTGTTTGCAAGTATGGAACAGCAAATAAGAGCGAGCGGGAAGAGGATATCTGACTGAAATAGCTATAACAATTGTTTAACTCAACACATTACAGCAAATTAGGTTTCATTTGAGAGAGGAAAACTTGCTGATTAAAAAAAACCTACCTGGGGACTAATTTTTACTGCTCACCGAGAGGACATCAATTCAAAAAGTTATAATGTGTTTTAGGTTTCTCCGAAATTTAAAATAGAATGATTCAGTTATTTCAACCAAAACGCAAAGTAGATCAAATTTGCAACAAAAAACCTTCATATCGCGTATCAATAACCTCACGCGTTCATGAGTTATTGATAGAAGAGCATTGGAAATAACAAATTATATTTAAAAATTTTATGTTCGTCTATGCCATGACTAAAATATTCAATGTTTTATTATGACAAGCAAATATTAAACAGTTCAAAGGAATTCAAATTCATTCAATCGTTCGATTTCAGCCGCTGCTAGTTGAAGCCTGGCATTTTGAATTCGAATTCGAATTGTTGGTGATTGATTTTGATGTCCTTTATGCGACTGAATAAATAGATGTCTAGAAGAAACAAGCTTCCACCCTTCGCTACGTCCATGAAATATATCGTTGATTGACCGATATTCGGATTTAGGAGAAATAAAACGATAACGATTATAGTAAGATAAGAAAAGTTTCGCTCAAAATTTTCAAAGAAATTTCATAAAATATTTGGACCATTCGAAAGTCAGAATTTATACTTATTTCTTATGGTGATATTCTTAGAGTATATTATAGTTATTTTAATTGATTATTTGTCATAATATAATATTTATCACCTTTACCATAAAAATTGGAAATATAATTTGTTATTTCAAAAGTTATGAAAAGGTCTTCTAGCAATAACTCTTGAACGCGCTAAGTTATCGATATGCAGTTTGAAGATTTTTTTTCTTGCAAATTTAATCTGATTGTTGTTTCTGTTCAAATAATTGTATAATTCTATTTGAAATGTCGAAGAAACTTAAAAAAACTACACATTTTCGAATTGGCAACCCTCTAGTGACAACCAGTTTCTTTCAGATATGTTTTTTTCTTAATAAACAAGGTTTTCTCTGTCAAACGAGACCTCATTGCCTCAAATATGTTGAGTTATATTAATATTATACGCATTACAATCAAACACCTCTCTGCCCTACAATCAAAAGCAATGAACTAAAAAGATGCAAAATTTTACAAGGATTACAGTGACCGTCTTCTTTTATCGACTTATGATGAAACATTAATTAACTATCCGGCCATTGCTATTCTGCCTCAAGCGGCATAGATATAAATTTAAAAATTAATTCGAGTATTCCAGTATCTTTTGGTCACTTTACAATTTTTTACGTCGCTTATTTATTCACTATGTACAATAACAATGCGAATTTTACTGTAGTTACATGCATTGACAAACTAATGAATGTTTGATAACAATAAATGTTGGACAATAGCGTCAAAACACGTTAGGCTTTTACCCATCCATATCGTAGTGCAAGAAATTTAAAAGTGAATATATATATAGACCATTCAATCCAAAAATATATATGGATAATAATCACAAAAGATAAATATTCAGTCCAAATGTAATGTAATGTAATTGGATATAATTGCATATTTGAACGTAATTGTTATATTTGGTCAACTTTTTTTAATAACTATTTTCGATATTGTCAAATTTAAAGGTACTGTACTACCGAGTAAACTTAATATTTTTTTACAAACCTCGTATAATACTAAAAAAAATTGATATCTGATGAACATTTTAGAACATGCAGAACTTTTATAAAGAATACTTTTTTCCTAAAATTAATAATACAAAAATTTCCCAAACGTTTCCAACTCACTAGACGTATTGTATGTGACAGAAATGATACTCCATGTGACGATTTTTATCATCATATTGTTCGCACTCCAAAAATAGATAAATGAAAATTTAAATTAATATTTCCTGAAAATACTCCTTCTATACTTGTAGATATGAATTTCGTCAAAATGCAGTTAATTACGCCAATATCAGATAGAATAAGACCGAAAATAGTAATTCTACCAAAACAGTTATTCAAAATTGAACTAGTTGGATATGAAACTGAACAGCTGCACATTGTAATGTGTACAGAATCGGTTAAATGTCTAGAATATGAACTACAAAATGCTCTAACTTTTACACAAACTATACCTCGGCAAAAATGTTAATAAAATTAGGTCACTATATAACTTCTACCGAGTATCTAGGAAGAAGAGAGAAAATTAAACGAAATGTTCACAGTTACGGGGTAAACGAAACCTAAAGAAAAAATAAATATTAGTACCATCTGAGTTATCTCTTTCGCTAATTTCAGTCGCATCAGAACGTTGCAGTTTTCAAAGTTTCCTCCACGAAAATAGGAAACGACTGCGCCTTTTAAGCTTACAGATGTAGATTGTTAACAAAACATTAAAAAAACGGGAAAACAAAAACAATTAAACTTTTGGTGTGGAAAATAAAATTTACCGAGTGACGATACTTCTCCAAAAATTACTGTGCACATTGTGCGCACGCAACAGGCAAGACAGGACCACAGTATGCGAGTGACATTGTAAATTCGATAGTTACGAGTGCCGAGGTAATTGTTGTGTTGGTGGCAGGCCTTCACGACACCATTTGCGATCACTACATTTACATCACAGAATGGCAGGAACCAGAACTAACTTTGATACTTTAGTATTGTAGAAAACGCGTAGCGGTTTTCTCTTAAGCGATTAATCTATGCGTAGTTAAAATTATATATGTATATATATATATATATATATATATATATATATATATATATATATATATATATATATATATATATATATATATATATATATATATATATATATATAAATTGTTCGAGATTCCGAAATCATATTTATGTGGGATGCAATGTTTCGACGATATTAACGCATGTTGCGGTTTTCCTAGCATTCAAAAACTGTGACAATTTCCTACAACGAGTTAATTCATTTGAGACGAAAAATTGATCAAATAATTTTATTTTTTTGCAATTAAAATGAAGATCACTTTTGAACCTTTCTTTTTCTACACTGGGACTGTTCTTTTACAGAAACGCATTAAAGAATTTTATAATCAAACAAATTTCAGAAACTTTCAACATAAGTTCGAAATTTACTAAAACTTCGGAACAAACCAGTAAAATAATATAATTCATGTAGCAATCCATAATTAGACGCATCTACTTCAGACTCTGACTAAATTATAATTAGCATAAACAATTAATAATAATAAATAATAATTTTCTTTCATGGTCTTATATTTATTATTCAAGTTATAACATTGTTTATAAATATTTTGTTCCATTTAAGATAAGAGATATGATGACTGGTGTTGGAGAATCAACAATATACCGGTCGTGCACGAAGATAAACGTGGGTTCATCGAGTCACCAAAGAGGAATACAGAAAGAAAAGAAACTGCCAGATAGAAAAGACTGCCATGACAAGAATAATACACTCGTGGACAAAATAATGAGTAAGAAGAAATGGCGTAAAACTTCGAAATTGTCTGTGGTGGATTACTAGCATTTCGAACTGGTGACCATCATGAAAACATGAATGCTGATGTTTATGAAGACAGTAAATGCTAGACCTCCTGCTGGGTCTTTATAATTGTTATAATCATATACGACTCAAAAAGATTCGAAAAAATATCCACATCTTCTTCTTATCTCACCTTAATTAAAAAATAATTTGAAAAACATATGCTAAAAACGGAGCTACTAGAAATACGTTTAAATAAAGCTCTCTGTACGAAATTTGTTGTCGATGAAATCGCTTCAAAAGGAAATATAACGGTACTTCGCCTTCCCCCATATCACTGTGAGTTATACCCCATAGAACTGGTATGGGCGCAGGTATAAAGGTAGTAAGTTTAAACCTTCTCGCAAGAGGGAATAACGACGGTGGATTGTGAAAAATGGAGTAATTGTAAGAAAATATCTGAGAAGTTGATAACATACTAAAAATCACTAATAATAGAGTCCCTTATTATTTCTCTGGGCTCCAATGACTATAGTGCATCCAGCTACTCGGAATATGATGACTTAAATTTACAAATAAAGTTGAATTGTAAATAGCAGAGTTTGTTCAAAAATAATTTTAATTAAAATTTATCCATTTTACTTGATTTTAGAATAAGCAATATCTCATTTATCTGCCCATTTCTAAAATTATAATCATGTATCGTTATTATAATTATTATTCTAATAAACCACCTCTAGTAAGGCAGCTGTCACATTACTTTCATTTACCAAACTCGTCTTTCCATTGTATGCAAATTAGTGTGACGTTAATTTAGGAACAATTCGTGGTGTGTAGGTCTTAACTTTGCGATATAACCTTTAACTGATCCACTCTGTTTAATCCTAATTGTCATTTACATTTTATTACTTATTTGCATTAAGAAAAAAGATATAACACACATAAGGAGCACGCAACGCCAATTTAAATTTTGATTATAACTGCAGGAAACAAGCACCCAGAAAAAGTTTTTAAGATTTTCAAAACCGCCCACATTGAAATGACGAAAAAATAACACTTAGCGACTTGAGCGACATCTGTCAAATACAAAAAATACAATTTTCCAAGATCGGTTAGAAGCGGCAAAGATACCGACTCGCGAAAACTCTTTAGTTCTGGCACCAAAGTCGAACCCTCGAGCAGTAAATGTAGTGATTGACCCACCTGCGATTAACCAAGTTATCCCTATAGGGGTCGCGAGGCTGTCTTTTCATAATGTCGCTTTCTGGCGCTTCGTAAGCCAAAGAAATAGCAGGCACCTATACAAGAAGGAATGCGCGTTGACCACGCGAAATCCGAAGTTAGTAAAGTTAGGAACATGACAGACATGCAATAGATTGTTTCTGATTTGGTATTAGTAATTCGGTTGTCGAGAATAATGTGTAAAGGATTTTGTCTGGGAAGCGTCGGGACTGTTTTGGAGTTATCTTCACAGGTAGGTCATATTATGCACATATGCAAAGTCCACAACATCATCTCAAACAAATTGAAGCTGTAAAAGATAATCGTATTTTTTAATACACTTCGTACCAAAAATAACGCACCACTAAAATTTTTGAAGGCTTGAAAAGTTTTTCTCTCGAAATGCTGACTCACTTTGGAAATACATATATTATATTCAATTGTAGCATAAATGTTCAGAAACTATGTTGCGAAAAACAATCTTATTTAAATTTACATTTTATACATACATATAAAGTGTGTTTAAAGGAAAACCAGGAAAACTCAATGTATGTTTTCTCTGTGGGAATTCCAATCAAAACTATGGGGTGTCCGTCTAAGTCAATGCATCTGATTTTTTATTCACATCTATATCTCAGTGATTACACGCAATAAGTAACTTATGTCAAACAAATAAGTTGGACAGATAACCAAAACTAATCAGCAGTTGACGAGAAAATTAACTTCGAAGTTGGCCCAAATTTTAATTGTGCATTAACTTCGATGCAATAAACACCAAACTGGGGCGATTGAGTTACATTTAGTATGTACGACAGTGAAGACGAGTACCATATACGAAAAATATTATCGGGAGGTAGACATCTCAACTGCTACAAAAATACTCCGAGATTTTACTTACCATATCTTTCTAAACAATAAGGAATTTACAGTTATCATTTTGTTAAGTTTAGTACGAAACGTGAAATCGTAGTAGTGAAAAGTAGTATTTAAGTTTCAACAAATTTTCAAAAGATTTTAAAAAATGCAAAACATTTCATTTTATTCATATTTCTCTTTCATTCGAAGAGTTTTTGAGATCCGAGTGGCGTGGGATTCTCTTACACTCCTACGAGAATTTAAGAGCAGCATTTTTTTAGGCTAAACTGTAAACTGTAAACTGCTTACTGTAGTTGACCGGGTGACCATGAGGAGCATATACAGGGCGGTCCCTAATGAATGTACCAAAAAAGAATACTAAATTAAAATGGTATTGTGTCAAATATGATTTGGTAAAATGTCGTAGGGTGGCTGATTGTAGATAACCAAATCAATCAGAAGAATCAATCAAAAATAGATCAACAAATTCAAACCGGTCATATCGTGAGGGTCTTACGATTCATTAACGAGAAACTTTTTGTTTTTCTTCCATCTTGTTTAGTTGTATCTTCCAAATAAAATTCCTAAGGTAAATAAGACAGACGTATACTACCTTGACATGAAGGAATAAGATTATAATTTTAAGCGCTTGTCAAAAGTTTTTAATCATAGATATGTTTTGAAACAAAAATTTTAGCTGGCAATATGAAAGGGAAAGTGTAAGTATGCAGACAATTGTGCATGAAAACACATACTGAAGAAGAATAAAACGAAAACGGCCAAAAACTGAAGATTTGAAATGTGATTTGAAAATAGAGGTTTGGAATGAGATTTGCGATTTATAGAAATCAGAAACCAATATAACTCTTCTAATTTTGAAAGACACTCTAAAAATATAGTGTAGACGTAGACTTGAATAATAATCAATATTAATAGGAATGTTAGTCACAGTCAGTGACAGACAGTCACAGTCAGCATGTTCATTTTTTATAGACATATTCTGAAAATTACATATCAAAATTTAAAAAAGTGAAATTTTTAGACAAAACATGGATATATATGATTGTTCGATGGAAGTGGTTCAAAATCTTGACAAGACGAGTAGTCTGTAAAAAGTGTCTACATAAAAGGGGGAAAACAGTCCATTATTTTGCATAATAATACCAAATTTGGATTCTCTGTCTTTAATTGTATTAGACAACGCAGAGTATCATTAAATGATTTTTAATTTGTCCTGGCAGAAAAATAATATTTATGAATGTTCATTATGAAAGTTCAGATAGTTTGGCAAGATACGCTCAATCATATTACGCACGAGTACTGGAACAAATTCGTGAAAAGCACAGAAAAAATATTTTCTTTTTATTACTCTAAATAATTAGCCTTATTAAACACCAGTAATTTATCAATTATTTTTTTGTAACTTTTTTACACTTTATGTGTAAAATAATAAAACTATTTTTCCTTTTTTCGAGTATATTTCTAATTGCCCAACATTTTGGTAGTCTCTGTATTTTTGTTATTGAATCAAGTAATGACCTTTGGAGCCATAATATAAGGCGGAATCTGACCACATACATTTTTTACTTAGAAATTACCACTCTATTATAATAACAAAATGTAATAAGGAAACGGTACCAGAAAGTTATGGCATAGTACGCTGCAACGCGAAAATCGTTGACAAATATCTCGGCATATCTTTGCTGCACTAGAGATCTGACCCGTAGACCGATAAAATATTTCGTTATCTGTTACTTTTACGCCCTTTAACTTTAGCGTATCCTTAACATATGCTAATAAAACATGAGAAATTGTATACACACATAACATGAAACACCGTTATCAAACCCCCCTTCGTTTCAATTCGGTAATAACAAAAATAAAGAAATTAATCAGTAGTAAATAAAAAAGAGAGAGAACAGGAATGTCGGGCCATAAAGCAAGGGTGCGTGATGAGCGGAAGAGAATGAAGTGCAAAAAATGAAATGAAAAAAAAAACCTACTTACCATTACAAGACACTCGGAAATTTTTGTAACTTATCATTTTTAAAAATGCCCAAGTTACAAATACTTCGAGAAGCGTACTGTCAACACTCGAATAAGCGAAACTATACAGGGTGTCCCACCGGGAACTTCGTCGATATGTTATGGGAAAACTATAAGCAGCAAAAATTTGAAAATTTAGAATTTAAATAATGCTGGTGGGGGCAATCTGTCTAAAGTATTTACAAGATGGCAGCTCCGGATATACAGGAAATGGATGTAAATTTTCTTATTTTAAAAAGAATACCTTATATATTATTGTTTTTTCAAATTTACCTGAATTCCAAGTATCAATAATACAGAATATAGAAAAAAAGTAATGAATCAAGCAAGTGAAATTGAAAAAACTGGCGAAAACCCTTTTTTTTTAAATGGAAATCACGTATTTTTAAAATCCTGTCTTATTTAGCACTGCTAATATTTATAGTTTTCGAGGTATAGTATTTACTTGATCTGAATTAATTTTGAATAAACCATGACGAGTATAGGCACGAAGATTAATTGAACTTGTTTATTATTTATGGAGAATAAATTTATTATAAATGACGAGAATATTGAAATACCCCTTTTGGATAATTTTGCTGCATATCGGCATTTTGCTACACGCGGTCGCAGTCGGGCGTATCAAAGTCGTCAATCTTACGCAAACATAAATTTTAACTATTAAAAGAAACTGGTTTTCCAAGAACATTCGAATTCCGTGAATACTTGGGCGCAGGAAAATAATTTCTTTTTGAAGAAAATAAATTTGAGAGTTGAAGCAAAATTTGCAAAAAATGGTGACTTGTCTTGAAGTTCAAGGACGCCAGTTTGAACGTTTACCGAAAATTTAAGTTTTTTGTTTAATTTTGCCGTTTCTGAAATTTAATCTTTTTTTATACGAAGAATTTGTAGTTTGCATTTTTTCCGTTTGCGATTTAAATAAATCCAGAAGATTTTCTACAATATTCTTAACTATATACATATATGTCATGGTTAACTCAGATTGATGGAACGTTAAGAGCAGACCAAGTAAACAAAGACAATATACAAAATAGTATTAATTTATTGTGATTTTTAAAAATAGGTGGCTTTTCAATTTTAATTGTTATTTTTCAACCTCCTGTGTTGTGAAATTTAGGTAAATGATCTTACACAAAATAATATATAAAAAAAAGTTGACACCCACTTCAGATAAATCCAGATAAACCGCTATCTTACAAACATTTTGACAGTATTGCCCCTATAAGTTTTGCCATAACGGATCGACGAAGTTCCAGGCGGGAAATCCTGTATATAAAAAGCCAACGTAAGCGGGTGACTGTGAGACGGTGAGTTTCGACTTAAAGGTTGTTAAATGGAATGGATGGTAAAGCAGAAGTCGTCGCATCGAAAACACATCAGAGGTCCCAAAAACTAGACTTTGTGGCGTGGCAACGCACAAACCCTAGAATTTGAAATTTACAAATTACACAAACGTAGTGCGGAGGGGAATTTATTCATCGTTTTCCCAGAGAGCAAAGGAGGTAGAAGAGAAGACCACGAAGGCAGTTTTACCTTTCGTTGACGAGCTTATCACTGAAAGGATTTCTAGGCTTTCTCTTCATTATATCAGACTCTGCCTCCTCATACGCCAAAGATATGGCGGGGACCTGGGCTCGATAAAAAGTTGAAGGTTAATAACAAAACAAAACCAAAAATGAACGAGGGGTGATGAGACGCTCGCATGCCCGCACTACTCCTTGATTTCCCTAAGTCTGTTTTGATACCAATATAGAATGATGTGCTTCTCGTCCTTGGAAATATCGCGGTTAATGGCGGCGACTTTCCCCACAACGAAATAGAAAGTCAAATATTGAACATACGATGTAAACAAAATTTAATCAGAACCTAATCAAAACATTATATGGGAAAAACATATTTCCAAACAGTTTTTTGAGAACAAAATTACAAATAAATTGAAATAGAATGAAATGCCAAAGTTTAATGACCCTATCTCGAAAAATAATTGCTGTAAAGTAAAGACTTGGAATGAAAATACTTGTGACCAAAGGAGCCAAAAGAAAATCGTATTCCTATTTTGCGTAGAATAGAATTTGCTCTATCGCCAGAGGGCGTTTTGCGACATCACTTCATGTAAAATTTATTGTCTCAAAAAAAGTAAATGCAACGAATTTACTTTTATTGGAACAAAAAATAA